TCGCTCTGCTGGCTAGACGCAGCTTAGCCGCCCGACGCAGTTTCTAACTGTGCTTCTGGACGAAAATCAGTAGCCATCTCTGATCATGGCTTGAGGCCAAGGAGTTAGGCGCTTTCCAGCACGATGTTTTTGAGGGCCTTGTCCGCTAGTGAATTCCTCTTTGTGTATGGCGGATCAGTTGTCATCTCTGCCACTTCATTGCTGATTCTTAGTCGAGGCCTCTGAGGAGAGCACAGATGCCCACAACAAACTTCATTCAATATCGTCATATTTTTTAAACAAGGCCAGGCCACGATAAGGGCAAATGTTTTACAGAACGCATTCAACTTCCAATACGCGCCCCGCCAGGCTCAGCTCGCAGCTGAAATATCTAAACACGCGCTGCAACACATGAAAACGGTAACAGCGGCTATGTCTCATTTCCTGTCAAAACCCGTGCCAGAGCACAGTTTTATTCAGCCAGTTAGCACTGTGCCAGCACCATGCTACCAGACTCGGGTCGTAAGCGGCACTGGCTGACGGCATTCCACCGGTGGAAGTCGTGACATGGCGCGGTCAGGCGGTACCCATAACCCACCGTGCAAGCATTAAAACGGCGGCCGGGGCGTGCCTGACCGCCTCATGTGGCCGGCTGGCACGCACGTCAGCTGCTCCACGAATAACAGGTCGCTACAACAAACCACCAGCCGGCGCTATAAGGCCTGTCAAACACCACTTCGCCTGCAAAGCCGTATCATCTTCATGCATCCGTCATAGTTTGGGTCACATGGCATATTAAGACCTGCTCAGTTATTCATTGGAGATGAGATCATTTACGATCGCTCATTTGCCCTTTCTTATATCCTATGCCTGTTTCATACACCACGCCAGTTGCATTTATGGACGCGGTGTGTACTTATTTCTAGAGGGTGGTTCATGCGATGCAACCGTTTGTCGTCGTCGAAGCATTAACTATAAGATCCTGCCAAGCCAAATAACTTGCCAGCGAGGCGCAAAGGCAAAAGAAACACGCAAAGCACCACACGGAATTGCTGAATGAAATAACTTTGAAGGAGGCATACGCTTGTTTTTCATATTTGCTCAGTACCAACAACAGTTACTTACAAGTGTTAACGACAGATATAGCTAAATTCATAGGAAGTTCCAAAACATCAGTGCTATCAGTGCTGCAACAAAAATCCCCCACAGGAGTGCTACGACAGAATTTATTCGACTGCCAGTGTTTTGGGACGGTCGCACTCTGTCCCTTCGCTCGGCGCTATCGCTCGTGTCTCGCCTCGTAGCGGTGATTTTTTCGTCGATAAAGGTCTCAGATGTCTAACGAGATAGAATCGATATCACCGACGGAATGGGCAGCGCGCGGCCGTCTTTATGCCGCAAAAGCTTATGCTAGTCATTACTTCTACTGCAAAGCATATGCAGTCATCACTTATACACAAATTTGCTTCTTCTGCTAAGGCTTATGCACAGCATTAGTTCTACACGACAAAATGCATGCTGCAAAAACGTTATACCCGTCATTATCTCCATTGCGAAAATATATCCAGCCGCTGCTTGCACCTGGCACTACTTCTACTGCAAAAATTGATACGCGACATTTGTGCTACACGACTAAACTTACACCCCCAAAATGCATTATTGTCATGGCTTTTACTTAGAAAATGGCATAGTTCTTACGCATACGCAGTATTATTTCTACTGCTCACTCTTGCCGTGGAGTGCAGTATGCGTGGACACCCAGAAAGGGTGTGAGAACAATGCTCAGGTGGGGGGGGGGGGGGGAGGGGGGAACCCCGACTGGGCAGCATTCCAATTAAATGTCCGTGGTGCTGATATGAAAAGTTGTCTGTTCATTACCTCACGTGATTATGCCCATTTGTAGAGCTTGGGGTGTGCATAAGCAAACCAACTTCCTTCTTGTATAAGCAGCCCAACTTGATTCCCAAGCCACAGCAAGGGCTATGGTTTGGGAACCAAAATTTCAATGACAGGTATAACTTTTTAAGCAGAGCTAATGTCCCGTTTCAATGAAACCAAGCCAGGAATGTGGTTTCGTATTCACTCGGGGACACCCCTCATCTGTAACAGGATAGCATACCCCATGCGGGGCCAACGCCGTATTTCATGTATTTCGGAGCAGGTTTGGCCCATTAGCCCTGCTTAACCCCAGATTCCGTTTTGCAACATCATAGCAGCGCACCATGGTTTATCAGCAGAAACATGTCGTGTATAACCATTATCGTCATTGATCTGTCGATCGCAATATTTGAGGCAACAATTATGCATCAACATCATTGAGTGGGTACCAATAGTTTGATTTCGCCCCAGTGCCCCCACGCGTTCGTTCCCTCCAGGATTTTGATGAGATTTGAGTGGGTTGGGGTGCTGACGGTTGCAATTTTTGAATTATGACCCGTGTCGTGTTGCACAAATGTCGCAGATATGTATTGGCCGAAGAAGTAGAGTCGTTAACTAGTATGCGTCGCGTAGACAAGAAGCAATGTTAGCGTACAAGTAAATACTTTTGCAAGCCTTTGCAAGAAGTAATGGCTGACACATGTTTTTGCAGTTCAAGTTTTGTCTTGTAGTATTCACGCTGTGTATGAGTTTTTGCAGCATAAGCTGTGTCGTGTGACACTCGTAGTAGTGTCGTGTATGAGTTTTTGGAGCAGCAGTAATGTCGCGCATAAGTAAATACGGTATAAGTTTTTGCAGTAGAAGTAATGCCTCGCATAACTAATGTAGCACTTCCGTCTGTAGTAGCTTTTGCCGTATCACCAATATTGTGACACCTAAAAGAGATGTTGTGGGCAGTTTTGGGCCGCGTTCACCCCGTCGTTCTGTTTCCAGCAGTGTGAGTGCTAAGGGCGCAATGTTCTGTTGGGTCAGATATCAAATGACCTTATCCGACATTTTTGCTGATACAAGGGGGACAAGTATAACACCCGGTTTGCCTCCTCCCCTCACCGCACATATTTCATTAGACTAAACACGGCTCGCACAAGAGCTCAGGAGATTGTCGAGTAAAGAACCGGCTTGAGAAAGCTTTCTAGTTTATAAGAGATGCTTGCACACAGCAGGGTGAAAAAGATGGCCAAGTTTGGCACCGCATCCTTCACGCGGAAGCACTGAGGAGGCGTCAGGAGATATAGGAGGAGTAATTGCCACATCACAAACTCTCAACAAGCACTCGAAATAATTAAGCTCGCCCTAACATCTGCGCAAGGCAGTGCTTGCTTTGGTGCTTAGGAAAACCTAATAGCCTTGCCGGGCGCTTCGGAATCCACGGATGTCGCCGCACCAACAGCCGTGGTTTCGTTGGCTGCGATCCCCTGATCGGAAACCATCCCTTCTCTGCATTGAGCTCTGCACGAGCTGGAATGTTTTTGCCAGAAAAGAAGACTGGTAATATTGTTATATGGCGTCAGCCTAAATGGGAAGATCATGTGTGAAGATCGCTGGTCGTCTTGTCAAACATGAAGTACGTCTGCTTTCAAAACCGAGACTGCTGCGACAGGTATATCGTTATTTCGGACCAAAAATGGGGGCCCTGAAAGGAGTATTCCCCATTTGTATAGGGTTTTGAGCTGAGGCAGTCACATTTTAGATCAATCCGTGCAGTTCATAACCCTGCCCTTCCTAAGACCTAAGCCTCTCTGGTCTCTGAGCTACATGCCCGCAAAAATGGGCAGACCGTTTCGGAGAGACTATTTCATGATCACTCAGACATCCATGACGCTATTATAACCTTATTCAAATCCCGTCATTCCATTAGCCACGCGGCGAAGAAGGCCACGAAAAATTGAATTGTCGAGTCGCTCATATATGACGTTCGTGAGCGCGCTTTCCGAAAAAGGCCGTCAGTTGGTCCTCAATCAGTGTTGTGTACGGTACAATGACGTCACCAAGCAATGACGTATTGAGGAGCATTTTACTTGATAATGGATTTAGCTGTCTAGAGCGGTCTTTACCAGCTCAAAGTTTGCCATTAGTCACAAGGCTTGTTGCAATAACCTTAAATGTGGATCATTCCCTGTATTGCTGGGTAGGCGACGTTGTCAAGCAAGCAATTTGGGCTATTGCCAAAACTCGACGCTTCAAGCTGCGCTAGCTCATAGTCAACGAGGCTGAGATCTCATGACCACGAGCACAGCTTGCAACGTCAATTACTTTTGTTAAACATGCGAAGCCACATTCACTCTCACGTACTAAAAACACAGTGACCAATCACGAATGAGTGGCCCCTTTGGCGTTCACCAGGCGCCTGGCAGCAGCGGGCCAGAGCGGGACGCAGCGGCCGGACGCTGGTGATGGCCCCCGGCGCCGGGCCGTGATGACGTCACGGGATTTCCGCGTCACCGGCCGGGCTGCCCTGCAGCACTGACCGGCCCAGCACGCGGTGGCAGCCCAAGCTGGCTGCTTTACAGTGAGCAAGGCACATTTTGCTAGGTTTTTCCATACATTCTGGACCTTGGCACGTGCCAGACTCGTGCATGACAGCGTCCATTTATCTTTAATTGTAAGCTTGATTGTTAAGACGGCGTTAAGCTTAAGAGGCAATGGTTTGCGGGGGATGACTGTGTAAAATAGGTGTAGTTATGTCTTCAGCACTGCAATCTTAAGAATGGAAGCATGGAGAGCAAATAGTGGCCGGGGAGTTGACTAGGCAAGCGATTTGACTTCGCAAGATTTCCCTACTTCAATGGAATACAACTTAATTTGACCTTGACGCATCACACCGATGCATGTCAATGAGCGGATACGGGTGCAACGGCAAACCTGAAGAGTGTGCCAATGTATCCGATCGACTTCGCGACATGACCACATGACGAACCAGTACGTTTTTTATTTGACCTTCTGACATCTAACATGCCAAGTCTATGGAAAACCTTCAACTAGGTGGCGTCACGCCCCAGCACCCCCACCGTTGAAGAACGCTTCGGTGGCCGGTCACCTAGGAGGTCGGACTTGAATCAGGGCTGATGGGTGTGGCCGCCTGTGGCGCTGCCATCGCCCATTCTCCGCGAACAAGCGACCAGGCGCCTTAAAAGCGGCGTGCGATCCAGGGTTGTCAGGACCGACCATGGCTTCGTCTCCGGCTGTCGCGATGGTGGCTCTGCTGGTGATCGCCTCCGTCAACCTGGCTGGTGAGTGGTGATGACTGGTGTCGCTGAGCCGCATACCGGGCGGCGCACCAGTACGCTTGGAATTCCGCGGTGGCAGCTGGTGCTCGATTGACCGTTCGAGGGCATGGCGTTTATCTCAGTAGGCTGCCGGAGCTCCTGCTGGTAAGATTGGTGGTCAGAGACCCTTTGGCCACCAATTCCTGAGAAATTCTTGGTCATTTTCGCAGACAGCACCCCAGGTGCTGTCCGCGAACATGATCAAGGATTTCTTTATCAAACTTCAAATTAACTTAGTTTTCGGAGTGACACATGGTACTGAAGTCTTGTAGTCCCAGCTGTGAGAACAAAACCAACGGACCACCTTAGTTGACAGAAATCTTGGTTTCACTACTGCTTTGCCACAATTAATACAGGTTACCTGTAGCCGTTCACTTCAGGTGTCGTCCGTCTTTCAGATCCATTTGACTGTGCGCTGGTGTCCCCGGAGGGTTCCAGTGACCTTGTTCTTGGTTAAATGATCACGTGACATGTTGTGAATCGGGCTCATTTGTCCCCGCCGCCGACGGGAAAATAAATGAACATTTCCAAGTGTGTGCCAAAAGAGAGCTCGACATTAGACGAGTTTAGACGATAGATTAGACGATAAGAACATGTTTGGCGGTGACCGAATGCAGTGAATAGTTCAAAGGTTTTTCTTGAGATGTGTCAGACGCTTTTGCCTGCCATTTTCATGGTTCACTGCGTTTTACTCATGGGACATTGCACATCGTTTAACAAGCGGAGCTTTTCCACTGATAGTGGGAGCGTACTAGATTGTCTGTCTGGTGTTCTGTGGAGCCATTGCTTCATGCCGGGTGGTCATCACGGCGCATTCCATCCCTTTGAATAAAACACAATAGAAGCAAACTTCTTTGAAAAAAGCGGCCAGGAAGAAAACAAAGTAATAGGTAAGGGACCAAGTGAGACACACATATTAAAACAATATAAATGCAGTTTCAATTAAATCAAGGTCTAGGCGGGACAAGGGCTGAATGTTGACCTAATGCGGTAACGTTGGAAACACAAGAATGTGCTAAAAGACAGTACCGCAATATTTGGCGTAGCTGGTGATCCTGACGCGACTTTGACATGACCTTGACACGGCAGCTGACATGACTTTATGTGTCATAGTGCTGGCTTCCAAAGACCAATGGCATCAACACAGCTCCTGGCCTAGGGCGGTACTCCTAGCAGCTTACTAACACATCGCCTCTGCAGCCACTCCTGCTGGTACATGACCGAGATGTCCGTCCCCATGCTACGTCCAGCGTCCGGGCCCCTGGCCACCGCGGAGAGCACATGAGTCGGTCAACTACATTACGCTGGGGCTTAGAACCCTCCCCAGCCCCAGGGCACACGAGGGCAGTACCGTCCGGCTCAGCCCACTGTTCTCAAGGGTGGAGGCTCTTGGAACAGATGAAGGTGTGGACGCCTGACACGGCGATCACGAACAGGACTTCTGCGGAGTGAGAGGTAGCTCATACCCGTCACAAAGGGTCTGCAGAGGGTTTGGTTCCTATGGAGATAGGATTAAGAACAAAGCCAGAGAGAATTCGCTCTTAGGGCGCCGGCTTCCGTTTCTCTGAGAATGTTCAATATTACTCCTACGGCGACGCCTGGAAAACGAGCTCCAAAATTGACATTGTCCCCCTCCCCTTCTCCCTCCCCGCACACCTACACGCATACTTTTCCTCATTGAGTCCGAACCTTTTGTGGCCGGATATATTTCTTGGGCAGCACCCACGCCAAGCAGTGCTTGTTGCGCGAACCCATGCCCCACCATCTGATTGTCAATTTCTGGGTCAACGGCGTCCTTTTGCGTCAAGAGCTTCCTTTCACACAGTGCTCAACGTCGCCGACCCTGCCCCCCGACGACTGACGTCACCTGACCTTTAGCGCGGCCGGTGTCGCCGACCGCTGGCCACCCCGCCAGGGGCAAATGGCGAGCGTGTAAAGCAACTCGAACGGAATGGAAGGCAACGACAGGCAGGCGCTCCAACAAACAAAATTACCGCGACAGGCTTTCTGAAACGTCCATGCGCCCTTGATGTCTATCGCGGTACGTGTGATTTAGAATGGCTAGAAGATGTGATGTAGGACACACGATATGTGTGACGGAAGACGGCGTGCATGTCATGTAGGACAGCCATTCGTGTGACGTGAGATAGCTGTTTGCGTGAAGTTAGACAGCCAAGCGTGCGATGAAAGACAGCCGGTATGGGTGGTGTAGGGCACATAAGACACACCGGTCACGCTGGCCACATAGCTACCTTATGTGACCGTCACCGGTTACATAAGACAGCTGTCACGGGTGACGTAAGACAGCTCCCACGGGCGGCGCAAGACAGCTGTTATGTGGCGACACAAGACAATATTCGCGTGTGATGTAAAATAAACGCTTTGTGTGACGTGACGCGGCCGCGGTGTGGCACAACACACACGTGCCATGTTCGGTGGGGGAGAGGAGAGCCACGCTGGATAGTGATGTGAGATGGTATGTGCCGCGCCGACGCAGCTTTAAGTGCGCCGCGAAAATGCTGGGTGTTACTGTGGTATGCATGCGGTGTTCATGCCCGTGTTTTGCCGCCTCAGTCATCCACAAAAACGTGTCCCATTGTCTGAATGCAGTGGTCAGAACACCATATGAGAGTGGCAGGTTATTTGTGACTGAACCGTCCCCGTAACTGTGTCGCGTATGTCACTGTATTCGGCGACGAAAGAGAAAATGTGGCAGTAGTTGTCCTTTGTTCTCTTCAGTTAACAACCCGAGCCCCCGTGCAATGCGACACAAGCGCAATCACCCGCACCTCAGGACTCCGGCTGTCAACAGGCTGGTTGCGGCCGAGTGGCCGGGACTAGCACTGCTGCGTTGGTCGTGCTGGTCCGGTTTGAAACTTCGGTGCCGGTATCGAGGCGATGCTGGCCCGGGCTGACAGACAGGGAAACGTGTCCGGAGAGGCACGGATCACGAAGAGCAATAAACACTGCGCTGCCAGGCCCTACAAATAGTATTTTAACGATAGGTTTGTTTTTGTTTTTGTTTTTTGGATTAGAGCCTTTTCGACCAGACATGATCATTTCAGGGCTATGAGATGAAGGAAAACGGTTAACGATGGGACGGACGTGCATGCCCCTGGGGGGCCAGCCGTGGAGCTTTAACCCGCGCGTGCGCGAGTACCCGGCCAGGGTCCCCCTCTCACGGGGCTCTCGCCCCACTCGTGGCTGACGCATGCGGTCTGCCCCGGACGAGCGGGGTGTCGCGAGGATGCAGGATGAGACAAGATAGAGGATAAGAGGGACGGATGTCTTTTAACGATATGGCTCGGTTTGACTACCACACTTCACAGTAGCAAACATCTACTAGTTCCGGTAGTCAATATACCAATAGCGGCCAAACAATGGTCATACTGTCAACCGTTTTGTGGTAGGCATTTCACTAACATCATTACCTAATATTAGCAGAGTAGCGAAGCTATGGGGACGCACAATGCCACACACACAACAGCAGCACTCGTTGGCGCCACCTATTGGTGACCTACACGACTAGGTGCTGACCTCGTGCCGCAACAACTGTACCATAAATAAATGCCTTAAGAAGAGCCGAGCAATGTCAGTGGGTACGGAAGTCATGTGTCCTTAAACGGAATGTTTCGCATCCGAAGATATTAAAGCAAGCATCAGATATTATGAAAAAATATCATTTATGCTCCTTGGTATACTCATTAAGTGGAAGAGACGGCTTAAGACAGCACTGCTCTCTGTTCGGTAAATGTGTTCCTCAATGCATCGTAGTTTGATTACGTCATCGTACCTCGCACAACATTGACTGATAGCTAATTGCCGGCCGTTATACCTGGAAGTCGCGTTTACGAACGCCAGATATGAAAGCATCAGTAATTATATTTTTCTTGGCTTTGATCGCCGCATGGGTTATGAAATTGCAGGATTCGAATGGCGTTATTTTGACATCATGAATGCCAAGGCGTCTTTGAAATGCCCTCCCCGATACATCTTACCTAGCTCAGAAACTAGGAGGCTTAGGCTTTTAAGAAGGGCAGGATTGTGAACCGCACCGAAAGGTCTTCAAGGTGGCTATTTAAGTTCAAGACTCAATATAAATGTGGAGCACTCCTTTCAACAAACGTTGGAATTTGTGTCTTTTTGTTCGTGATTTGTGGCTAGTGAGAGGCCCTAAATGAACGTCTAGGTGGGGATGGGGATAGAGGTATGGTCGGTACGTAGACCACATAACGGCACATAACATAACAATTTGTTCTGTTCCAGGCGCCTACTGGCCCACAACACCCAGCAGAGTTTGTCCCTTTAACGACCTGGAGGCCAAAATATCATGCTTAGCGAACACCCCGGACCAGTGCACCAGCGACGCGCAGTGCAGCGGCACACGGCGTTGCTGCAAGTACGGCTGCAGCCGGCGGTGCGTGCCCACGTGTTCACCCTGTAGTACGGGCCAGCGGTGCATGGTCAAGGAAACCTGCGTGGGCCCGGGCTGCGGCCCACTGAGCAGCCAACTGGTGGCCGCCTGTGAGAACCTGCCTGCTCCGCACCCCTGCACGTTCTTCACCTGCCCGCCAGGAAAGTCCTGCGCCGACCGCGGCGGCCCGCTCGAGTGCATCTAGCGCTGGTGACGTCACTAATCCCCTCCAGCGGCCGGGGAGTGGCTGCCGGTCCCGGCGGCCGGCGCACAGACGCTCGCCGCCGCCCACAGACGACTGCGCAGTGACCGCTGCTGCGATGAGAAGATCACGTGAATAATGCCGTCGACCCGCGCGGCCTGGACGATGTGAGGGGATAAAGGCCGGCGGCTACAAGCTGGAGTGGGCGGCCGGGCTTTGGTTCTGTTTCCGTGTCTGTCGCAAATAAATAATTCTTCCAAACAGAAGTTGGTGTTAGCTCTTTGCAATTTAATGAGTCTGGTTTTGATGACTGGTTCACAACAGGCACACAAGTAGCTGATCAAGGAAATGTACTTCCCGGTGGTAAAATACAAGAGCAGTGGGACGTAGAAGTCAAGTGATTTCGTGAATGAGGCAAAGAAGAACAAGTTACCAAGAATGTAGGCCACACAGAGTCCTATGTACCCCACCGAGAGTCACTTGGTAGTCAGGATCCACCGAGCCTGTATATACCTTATTATGTGCGTGAATGATGTGTCTGTGTGTTAAAACATCAACTGCTTGAAATATATCTCACCATAGTTTTCAGTTTTGCACACATGCACCTAGCAGCATTCACATATGGCTGCAACAGGCCGTGCTTCAGTTATGATAGAGGAATTGTAATTTATCTACCAAGAGCGTGTTACCAAATTAAGGGGCATAAAACGAAGTTTATAAAAAGTCCTGCTTAGCGATTCAGGTCGGAAACGTTTGCTCAGTGTCCTAGAATTGCCGACTTTGGGTGTAAAGCAACACCTTATGAGGAGGAATTTTTCACTCCTTTTCCCCATATTTTGTGAATTTTTCACTCCTGCCAGACATTGTATAATCGCACATGCCAAACCCATAATTCCCTTTCTAAGGTTTTCAGATGTCATCCAAAACCGAACTCACTTGAAACCACCATGCATAAACAAGGCTCCACATAACCTGGACACCTATGGCTATGTCCTGCCTCACCTACATCTGAATCATGTCTATGTGTGCACGGAGCAAGGGCGTCAGGCCCGTTCAAGCCCAAGACCCCCCCCCCCCAAGCGACTCCAACCGCTTGCACGCGTAAAGTTTGGTTTATTTACAAAATGCATCACAATCGGTAGCCGTGTGCCAAATACAAGGTTTTCACGCATCCCCAATGTTTTTATCTCACCACCACACCGCGAAAGCAGAGCCTGGTGCAAGCACCAGCAAGGCCTGGTAGAGAATTCCGCTCCACGTATTTCTTTTGCCTGAAGAAATCCGACCATTAAACTGCATCACTCCTGAAATGCACGAGTTACAAATTCAAGAAATGTCTTCTAAATTAAATTTACAAGATGAATATCACTGTTTGAAGATTTATTTTAACAGCTTTTTAAGTCAAATCAGCTGATTACAAAAAATTCCACAAAAGTGTCAGTTTTTATATTCATTTAACTACCTTCGTTTTTTGGTATCGTACGAGTGTGACAAAACTTTATTCTTTCTTCCTGTCCCATTGCCTTTAGAATAACATCTGTTGCTTAAAATGTTGACCAGTTTCTCTGCAATATGCTCCAACTGCAAACTTGCACGTATTTTATACATAAATTGGATTAATTCGCCAACCGCCCAAAGATGTTTGATATGCACCCGGGAGTGAACAATTCACATGGAATGAAGGAGATAATTTGAAGCACGGAACTTATTTTACCCCCATTTTGCCCTGTTAAACCCTCGGTGATACATTTTTGGGTTCATGGCGGTGCTCGATACTGATAAATCGAAGCCTTTCGAGTGTCTAACTCACCAGGCTACCAGACAAGGCTTTCCTTATGCTGCCATATAGAGCTTTGGGACAGACCTGACGCAGCTAATACAGAAATGATTGGTGGCGAAATTCTGCCCTCCGGAAATGTGTATCATGCACACCTCTTACTTGTTCCGTATCTTAATCTCGTAGGCTGGTGGACGTGATTGATATTTATATTTGTCAATTGGTGATATCGATATTGGTGAGTGGGATGACTCTGTCTGTCAGCAAACTGTGCAAACTGTGGTACTGACTTTTTGTTTTGGAGGACCAGGAAAAGTGTGCCCTGAAAAAGCCAGCAAGTCTCGTGTGAACCCAAGTAATTGCTTACCTTACCTGCTTTCATCACATGTTTGTAATCAGAGCTAGTCATTTTCTAATTCAATCATCGAGTTTTGTCATAAGACAAACTATGATGCCAGAAGGCATGCAATGGGTTTATTTTGTTCCATATTTTTGATTATTTGCCCCAAATTTCTTAAAGTGGTCCCTCATGGCTGCTTTAGCCAGATGTTTTCCATAGTTGTCATGCTTTACTGACTGGCAAATGACTGCACTGCATATACGCACTATATTTTTAACACTGGGATACTCTAAGCTGCATAGCAATTATAATATGAGGTAAATATCAGTGTTAAGCAAATAGACCACCCCATTTGAAATGTGAAGCCAACATTTCAGACTTTGTCACTAAATATGAATAAACAAGCCCAAATAGATGCTTTTGCTGCAGCTGAAAAGACAACAGCAAAACTGGCATGGTCATCTAAAAGTTATGTTACTTTTAGGAGAAGAGCGATTGTGTTGAGTATTCTTCAAGTACTTCACCTGTTTTAGAAGAAGAAAAATCTCCACCGCGAGCGTTTTACGCGCAGTGCGGCACGGGCTCAACCAGCTCACGTTAGCAGGATTGCCCGACTTTGAAATCATACAGTCCAAACAACATCTTTAGCACCAAAAATAATGAGAAGGCAATTCACATTATTCACTACGTCGTTTCGACCACTGCTACTCACAATGCTCGCATGGTTGCCTATCATCTTCAGGAAATAACCATCCGATAATATAATAATTTCGGCCACAAACAGGTCATATGATTTTTAACACGCAGACAGCCGACGATTTATAGCATGTACTAAAAGGGCAACATAAGCACCAAATTACGTACCTTCGAGCAGTCAAGAAAAGTATCCCAGTTCTTCACATTCGTGTCTCGAATTGATATTTCCAAACAGACAGCACAGAGAAAAACCCAACAATGTCGGCGGAACTGAAGCATTTCCAGCAGTCTTAAAAAACGGACCAAGCCACGGGAACCAAACACCGAAGCCAAGCCAACGTTTTCGGTACGGTACATTGACGTCTATTAGCGCAGTGCATCTCATACACGAGTCCGGATAATGTGATTCACACTTATTAGGACCAAACACATCGTGACGACATTGTCGCTTAAACTACAACACTTGGGTTCAATTAATATGACTACTCCGTTGCCGTGACATGCTGCCATCATGTCGTGCAGAGGGACTGTCGTAGTACCCTCTTAAAGTAGTGCACCTCTTGTACAATTTCAACGAGCAAGGCTTGAAATCGCTCTGACATCCAGAGACATACTCTGCCGAGATAATATGCCAACAGCCACCCTAAGGAAACGGATCAAGCCTCGGGAAACGAAGACTGAAGCAAGGCCAGCGTTTTCGGTACGGTACATATGCGTCTGTTAGCGTAGTGCACCTCACACACGAGTCCGGATAATGCGATTCACACCCTTAGAACTGAACACGTCGTGCTGACAATGTCGATGGAACTGCAAGATTTCGGTCCGATGAATAAGACTCATGCATTGCCGTGAGATGCTGCAATCATGTCGTGCAGAGGGACTGTCGTAGCACCCTCTTAAAGTAGTGCACCTCCTGCACAATTCCAACGAGCAGGGCTTGAAATCGCTCTGACATCAAGAGACATACTCTGCCGAGATATTATGTCAACAGCCACCCTAATGAAACGGCTCAAGCCCCGGGAAACGAAGACTGAAGCAAGGCCAGCGTTTTCGGTACGGTACATATACGTCTATTAGCGTAGTGCACCTTACCCACGAGTCCGGATCATGCGATTCACACGTATTAGGACCAAACACATCTTGCTGACGATGTCGGTGGATATGCCAGACCACGGCCCGATGAATAAGACTCATGCATTGCCGTCAGATGTTTCCATCATTGGCAGAGGGACTGCAGTAGCACCCTCTTCAAGTAGTACACCTCTGGTATAATTCCAATTGGCGGGACCTAAAAACCGCTCTGACATCCAAAGACATACTCTAACGAGATATTATGCCAATAAAAGTCCTAAGGATACGGACCAAGCCTTGGAACCGAAGACTGAAGCTGGGCCAGCGTTTTCGGTACGGCACATATGCGTCTATTAGCGCAGTGCACCTCATGCACGAGTCCGGATCAGGCGATTCACACTTATGGAAAATAAACACATCGTGCTGACAATGACGGTGGAACTGCGAGACTTCGGTCCGATGAATAAGACTGATGCATTTCCGTGAGATGCTGCCATCTTGTGCGGACAGGCTGTAGTAGCACCCTCTTAAAGTAGTACACCTCTTGTATATTTCCGATTGGCGAGACCTAAAAACCACTCTGATAGGCAAAGACACACCCCGCCGAGATAACATCCCGACACGAACCCTGAGGAACGAAGCCAAGCCCCGGGAACCGAGGACCGAAGCAAAGGCAACGGTTTAGGTACGGTACATATACGTTTAGTCGTGCGGGGCACCTGAAACAAGAGCCCTTATAACGCGATTCACACTAAGTAGAAATGAACACATTGTGCCGACATTGTCGGTTGAGCTGGAATACTTTGATTCAAGGAATAAGACTCATGCACTGTCGTGGGATGTCACCATCATGTGCGGACAGACTGTAGTAGCACCTTCTTAAAGAAGTGCGCCTCTTGCATAATTCCAGTTGGCGAGACCTAGAAACCGCTTTGTCATCCAAAGACACGCCGTACCGAAATAATGTGTCAACAGCAATTCTAAGGGAACGGACCAAGCCCCGGAAACCGAAGACCGAAGCGAGGCCAACGTTTTCGGTACGGTACGTATATATTTATAAGCGCAGCGTACCTTGTACACGAGAGTACTTCCTCGGTAGAAAATGTTATTGGATGCCGCAGCCGTTTTCAGGCCTCGACAGCTGGAATAATGCAAGAGGTACACAACTTTAAGAGGCTGTTTCTACGGCCAGTCCGCGCAACGTGATGGTGATATCTCACGGCAATGCATGGGTGTTGTTCATTGAACCGAAGTGTTGTAACTCAACCGACATTGTCCGCACGACGGCTGGCTGGCTGGCTGGTGGCTGTTGGCATATTATCTCGGCAGAGTACGCCTTTGGATGTCAGGGCGGTTTCTAGGTCTCGCCAATTGGAATTATACAAGAGGTGTACTACTTGAAGAGGGTGCTACTGCAGTCCGTCCGCCAATGATGGCAACATCTGACGGCAATGCATGAATCTTATTCATCGGACCGAAGTCTCGCATATCCACCGACATCGTCAGCAAGATGTGTTTGGTCCTAATAAGTGTGAATCGCATGATCCGGACTCGTGTGTAAGGTGTTCTACGCTAATAGACGTATATGTACCGTACCGAAAACGCTGGCCTTGCTTCAGTCTTCGTTTCCCGGGGCTTGAGCCGTTTCCTTAGGGTGGCTGTTGACATAATATCTCGGCAGAGTATGCCTCTTGATGTCAGAGCGATTTCAAGCCCTGCTCGTTGGAATTGTGCAGGAGGTGCACTACTTTAAGAGGGTGCTACGACAGTCCCTCTGCACGACATGATTGCAGCATTTCACGGCAATGCATGAGTCTTATTCATCGGACCGAAATCTTGCAGTTCCATCGACATTGTCAGCACGACGTGTTCAGTTCTAAGGGTGTGAATCGCATTATCCGGACTCGTGTGTGAGGTGCGCTACGCTAACAGACGTATATGTACCGTACCGAAAACGCTGGCCTTGCTTCAGTCTGTCGTTCCGAGGCTTGATCCTGTTTCCTTAGGGTGGCTGTTGGCATATTATCTCGGCAGAGTATGTCCTCTGGATGTCAGAGCGATTTCAAGCCTTGCTCGTTGGAATTGTACAAGAGGTGCACTACTTTAAGAGGGTACTACGCAGTCCCTCTTGCACGACATGATGGCAGCATGTCACGGCACCGGAGTAGTCATATTAATTGAACCCAAGTGTTGTAGTTTAAGCGACAATGTCGTCACGATGTGTTTGGTCCTAATAGTGTGAATCACATTATCCGGACTCGTGTATGAGATGCACTGCGCTAATAGACGTCAATGTACCGTACCGAAAACGTTGGCTTGGCTTCGGTGTTTGGTTCCCGTGGCTTGGTCCGTTTTTTAAGACTGCTGGAAATGCTTCAGTTCCGCCGACATTGTTGAGTTTTTCTCTGTGCTGTCTGTTTGGAAATATCAATTCGAGACACGAATGTGAAGAACTGGGATACTTTTCTTGACTGCTCGGATGTACGTGATTTGGTGCTTATGTTGCCCTTTTAGTACATGCTATAAATCGTCGGCTGCGTGTTAAAAATCATATGACCTGTTTGTGGCCGAAATTATTATATTATCAGATGGTTATTTCTTGAAGATGATAGGCAATCATGCGAGCATTTTGAGTAGCAGTGGTTGATACGACGTAGTGAATAATGTGAATTGCCTTCTCATTATTTTTGGTGCTAAAGATGTCGTTTGGATTGGATTTCAAAGTTGGGCAATCCTGCTAACGCGAGCTGGTTGAGCCCGTGCCGCACTGCGCGTAAAACGCTCGCGGTGGAGATTTTTCTTCTTCTAAAAAAGGTGAAGTACTTGAAGAATACTGATTTAAAATGTTTTCCTTTGTGTGTTACCAATTTTGTCTGATGTCAGCAACCAAACACAAATGAACTGAATAAAAATGCAACTTGAAACCAGCCAAAAAATGAGCTTTATCATGTTTTTATTATAAGTGCTGCTGCCAACAGGTAGGTGAGTTGAGATGATGTTCAACATATGGGCTACTCTAAGTTAGGTTAAGGTGGTTAAGTACACGGCAAGTGACAATAGGACTTGTGCAGGAATCAGTAACTCACAACTGCTGCTGTGGTACCAACAGGTTAGACTGGATAAGGTGAAGTAAGGCCTCTTTAGATTAAGCACAGTTAGGCTACTTTCATGGAAATAAGCATTTGTATTTTGTAAGAAACAGTGACAGTTTGTTTATTTTCCCTGACCCCATCTTAACAGAAGCCAGAGGTATGTGTATTGTATGTGGCTTGGTGATGGGCTGATGTGTAGGAGTCAAAGGTTTGTTTTTTGTTTGAATGCTTTATGCTTGTTGAATTTTCTCTTGTTATTTTGTTGTTGGATTCCTTTGCCTTGTATTGTGTTAAAAATGCTGTGGAAGGGAAGTGCAAGGTGCAGCATCAAATTATTGGTGTTACTGAATTTTTTATGCTCATTACACTGTCATGAAGTTGCTATGCTTTATTGTATTATGTTTCACTTTAATGTCGTAAGATGTTCAAAAACAAAACAGTTTTGTCAGGTTTATGACATTATGCCCATGCCAAATTGAAATAGATGTCTTTGTTCGCTGAAGCGTCAGTCACTAGCTCATAAGTTCCACCTTTTGTAACTTGAATTTTTCCCTCCCGGGCCGTCTTTTTGGGATAGAATTTTTCACTCCCACCCTGGCTCAAAAGCGATTCTAGGTCACTGCGTTTGTTTCATTGTTTGAGTCAACTTTTGGTGACTCATTTTAGCAGATCACATCCCTGAGGACAAACGTGGGGAATGAAAGCTGAAATGTAGCAGCCTGCGGGGCTCAGATGTACTCACGATATGCCTGCGAGACATATTTCTTTTCTTCAAAAACACGCCATATTTATAGTATTCCGCAGCCCAATGTGTCCCTTGACTGTCGACACTTCGTCCCATAGTTTAGCCAAGCTGTCAGCACAACATAAAAAAGACGACGACCATAGAACTCTGACCTCATCCCCAATGAGCAGGCTAAAGTGACGCTGACGTAGCTGCCTTTCAGCGGCGAAGCTTCATAAGTATAAACGCTTCCATTGTTACTGAATCAGGCGCTCGGGAAAACCAGGCATTGTTTGGGAATAATCAGGCGGTTGGGAAAACCAAACAAAACCAAACATTTTGACGTTGTTTGGCAATGGGTGGATGAGTTTGGGGAAGATGGCCGAGTAAAGCTTGCGTTCACATTGCATGTCAATCTAACATACATGGCTCGTTACACGCGTAACGTAGCCACGCACAGGCGTAGCGTGTTCACAAATTTAAAGTTATGTACGTCATCCTTCGAATTTGTAAACGACGAACTCTTAGTGATTACATCGGATGGCATATACAAATACATTTTGCGGAGTGTGCAGTCGATTCTAGCGCAATCAGATAGCAAACGAAATTATGCAAACAAGTCAGACATGAACCCATCTGTGGTCATTGTCGCTTAGACCCTTATTACGCTATCTTTAGTCTGTGAAGCTGTCTTTTAGACAGCTAATAGTGCAACGGGTAGATCCAGGATGCTCTAGAGTGATAGGCTGTTCCAGAAACAAAAACTACTGATATTTTCCTTTCTATTTGAATGGTCGGTATATTGTAGGGTCTCTAAGGGATCTGAATGTATTGCAGCAACGTTATAACCATGTAAACCACTTTAACAACGCATGTCTGAAATACACACGCCATCCAAAAACATCCGCAGTACAACAAGAATGATATATGCCACAGAAGACGACTGCGCCAGATAATCCGACACGTCTGACCTGGGCCTGCCGCACAGGGCCGCCATGTAAAACACCCCGTTCCGATGAGTGGCGTGAGCGGCGCAGCGCCTGGTCAGATCGGCGCCCAGTTAAGGTCAGAGCTGTCACGCCGCCGCTGCGGCCTTGAGACCCGGGGTGCTCGCAGGGCCCTCAGGCGGACCGGGTGGCGCAGTAGAGGTGCGCGGCGCGGCGTGATGACCGTCACGATGGTTCTTGCCGCGGGCTGGCTTGTGGTGGCCGCGGTGACGGCCCCGACCGCCAGCCAAGGTAAGGGTTCCAGCGAGGCTGGTGGGCCAGACACTGCGAGTGTGGGCGGCTTTAGCCGGACCTCGTGTGCCGGAGTCGTGGCGTAGTTTGCTAGTGTAATTAGCGCATGTGGTCTCCAGTTATGCCTGCCTCCCCCGCCCTGACACCCCGCTTATGGACGCTTCAGTTCTGTACGTGACGGCTGACCCGTGGTAAAAACGAGCGTTGGTGTCTTATTTAAACAGGCATTTTACCTCAGCCCATTAGGAAATGCAAAAGGAACGCGGTCGAGATAACTGAGTTTTATTATCGATGCAATATTGCCCGGTTTTCCAGCTGCCCGCCACGCCTGTCCGGTGAACCAGCGTTCCAGCGGCTGCGGCATACAGCAGGTGCTGTGCCAGTGGTCCGCCGACTGCCCGGCGCCGATGGCCTGCTGCAACTTCGGCTGCAGCGTCCGCTGCTCGCTGGGCTGCGCCGGCGGCTGCCCGGAAGGCCACGAGTGTCACTTGACTGAGGGCGTGGGCTCCTGCCGCCCCCGCCCGGTCAACTGCTACCAGACCGGCTGCGAGGCCCAGCACAGCTGCCAGACGGGACCCAAAGGGCCCGTCTGCCGCCACGTCTCCCTCCCCAGCTGCGCGAACACGCGGTGCCCGCGGCTGCAGATCTGCCGCCTGGTGGCCGTGTCCGGAAGCTGTGATGGCAAGTCGTCGCCGTGCGTACCGAAGCTGAAACCGCTTTGCTTCCACCCGCCGCAGTAGATCAGCAGGATTTCTTTACGGGTGAAGTACCCGTACACTTCATTGCGCAGTAGCACATCGTTCCTCAAAGCTGTGCGATGCCATCGTGCTGGTGTAATGAGGAAATATAACTTATCGCGTACGTCGTCACACTATCCCGAAGCCGGACATGTGGCCAGTCAGCGCAAATGTTGACCGCAAGGATAACAGACATCTGCTGCAATTCGTATGAGTGGAGGTGTAGAAAACCCCAAACCGTCTTGGAAGTTTGTATGACAAGACTGCAACAAGCTCTAGATATTCTTCTCATTGCTTACAACTCACATCCTTTGCAATGTCTTAACAGCATATAACATGCAAGAAATTGCAAGATCGTGGAAGAAGGTCAATATGTTTTCATTCGATCAGGTTCAGTCCGTTTTCGATACACTAAACAATCATTATCATAGAACAGACGCAAATGATCATTCACGGCACGTCAGGTTACGAATCATTTTAGTAGAAATAGTTTTTTAGTGGAATATTGCAGGCATCATTCTTTAGACTAAATGGCTGTTACATCTCGAGATTGGTGATGATTTTCCCGTGATCTCTGTTTTCCACACTGATATGCATATAGGTTGACTGTTGATGGTCGCCACCAAGAGGTGTCGCCACTTACGCGGCGGAGTGCATGATTACAACCGGGGTCGGATACTCAGCTCGGATTTGTGGGTTGTTCGGGAGTCTGGAATACAGAGCCGCACGCGGCTGGTGCGCCGAGCGAATTGTTTCATTGATCATCCACGGATAGATCAGCCCCCATACCTTTAAGCCCCTCCAATGTCTTACTTAACCCACTGCCCCAAATACATCTGAGCGAAAAAGGAAACACTGGGCCAATGAAATGCAGCTGGTGTCTGAACTGACGGTACAGGAGGTTCTAACACACCACCATCTATATCATGATCTTCATATCTCATCATTACCACTGTCACAGCGGCTTCAAAAGTGAAGCCATTCCCCAGCATGAAAAGAATTTTGGACCGGCCAGGTATTTTTGAAGTTAATTTCGACATCAGGGACGGATATCAAAGCAGCCGAAATTGAGAGAAAATCAGGATTTGAGGGTAGGTCAGGTTAACTTTGTTGGCTCAGCCCCCAAAACTCATTCTAGAAAGTTATACCACTGCATGTGTCCTTGATCCGCAGCAGCATGTGAAACATATTAAGAAATGAATTTGCGTACCCGCAAGTTTAGAAGCAAGAGAACCGGTGACCGCGGCTGCAGTGTCCATGAAACCGAGCGGCGTTAGAAGACCAACACGGGCGACGGGCGACTGGCGCACGAGAACGACCGCTGTGAAACAATCCCTCCGAAAGTCTTTTAAAATGAATTCGTACCGTTCGGAAATTACATAGGGGTGTAAATGTTGCATTTAGAATGCTGAGGATGTCTTCTGAATAGGAAAAAAGCGCCAGCATTAAGAAAAGAGTGATTTTATGTTTGCTTGTCTATTTCTTCCACCGAATTCCGTCACCAATTCGCAGCGCCGTGAATGCCAATCTGTCTCTATTATAAAGAGTTAAATTGCACAAAAGAAAAATGCCTCCGCATTACCTGCTAATCGCTCGAATTGACATCTTAAAGTGTTTCAAAAGTACTTCTTTCAGAAACGTCGCCATTTTCGTCCGCTCTCCAGCACCGCCTCATACTGACAGGGGGCAGAACCATAGCGGCGTACGGAGACTGCAACGCCGGCCGTCGGGGTTTTTGTTTCAAGGCCCGAGAGCTCGCGTGGTCAAAGCCATGTTATGGAATTCTCCTACTTCTCGGTTTTGAGCAAAGGCTGAAGATTCCAAGACGAGCATGGTCACTGAGGAGCTAGCTCAACCAGCGACACTTTTACACTCCACATGCGCCGCGAGTGGCTTGGACATTATGTTCGTTTCACATGCCATTCATTCGAACTGAAGCAGATTATAGCTGTTTTTCCTTCAGTACAGCTTAGAACAGTGTCTCCCTGAACTACAGCTGCCTGGCAATGCGTGTTTGGTGAGGTGAGCCGGAAAGGCATTATCGAGAGGATGGCACGTCCCTAAGCGCTTTGACGAAAGGTTGAGAACCATTTTCTGAAATGACGCGCGGAGGCGTGCTTATGTTTTTGTTTTCTTTTAAGTGAAATGTACATTGTTTACCAATGAATTTTTGGGAATGTCGGAAAGCTTCACGTACACAGAATGCAATGCCGGATATAGATATTGTGGACAATATTCCCGTGAATACACTTTCAAGCCAAAAAATTACAGACGCTGAGAACTGTAAATTGTACGTAAATTTTACTCCACAGTTCACAAGAGGGACATAACTGCACCCATTCAGCTCAACAAAACAAGTGCGTTTATACGAAACTGATGCAAACTGCCAGGGTTCAATATGTAATTGCTGTAGCTACGCACGTGAGGTTTAACAAGATTTGGTAGGTGTAGTTTGCTATATATATATATATATATATATATATATATATATATATATATATGTGTGTGTGTGTGTGTGTGTGCGTGTATAGATATATTCTGAATTCATGGCCAGAAATCAAGAACATGCATTGACTACGCTCGACACATTTTTCGTACTCGTCCTCTTATGACGACTTCTAAGACTCCGCCCCCCCCCCCCCCCCCCAATCATGTTGCATAATTGACACCCGTGTTGAGCCTTGCTGTGGTTTGGCTGAGCTGTGGTGGTGCTCAGTTTTGCCCATCACAGTCGGATCATGGTCTAAGTACATCCGACTTCTTGGGCAAGTTCAAACTGTCCATGCGTTGCCCAAGCTCATCCACATGAAGCCCAAGCAGATTTCTGGCTATGAGTCTGTCATGCCAGGCACATAGATTGCGCACATGTGACGTACTGGGCACCTAACTTGGTCATCCGTGTGCCCGGTGTCTGCACAGTTTTCCTTAACAAAACGTTTCTTTCTGACCCAAGACAACCAGCAGACGTCAATCAGGACACTAACGGACGCCAAGGAAAACGAAAATGTCATCTTTAGTCTGGAGCTCCCCCCATTTTGAAGATCGGCCACCAAACCTGGCCCGTTTTTGCCGTTTGATGCAAGATCAGTGGCAGCGGCTCCCTGGAATCACCGTAACATACGACCGCTTGGGAAATTGGCACGAGAAGTGAACGTCACAAATACAATTATGCCTGCTTTGTTTGGATTCTATTCCGTTCTCTGTTCAGCATCCGGATTCCCTTCGTCGATTGCTGTGGGTAGATCACCTAAAACTTCTGAAGCAGCACTCGGTTCGCTTAAATGTCACTGCCTAGGTGCGTGCGACAATCAACAGAACGCTCCCCACGCCTGTGCCGTGTATAATCAGTCAAAGGCATAAGCAGCGCATTCCGGCACGGAATCAATGGAAAGACACCCATCAGTGGCAGATACGGACGTGCCGCCACACGAGATCGTATCCTAGTAATACGCAGCATACACAACCAATATCACGAGCGGGTTTTCCTATATCCCACCAAACCAATCGCTACGAAACCCCTGTTGACCCGTCAAACGCTATTCACAACACCGGTCGGGCCGCCCCTGGGCACATATCCGTGCGTACATCCGTAAGCAGCGGAGCGCTCGGAACGGCGTAAAGCTCAGATACTGGCGCGTGACATCAGCGTGACGGCGCGGGCCGCAGTCATCCCGCCTGGCACGGAGGCGGGGCGAGGTCAGTGCAACACACCGGCTGGGGCCGCGCCGCGCTCGCCCTGGTCCATCCAGTGGCCAGCACACAGTCCCAAGCCCGCGGCGGCCGGAGGTACCAGCGTTTGCCAGGCGCCGCCAGTCACCAGAGAGCCAACACTGAGCAACAAGTCGCCTCGTCCATATAAATACGATACGCGTTCCCATTCTCCTCCACTACAGACGTGCAAGCAAGTACGTACTACAACGCAAGGCTCCCCTTGCCTGTGCACTGCGTGAATTAATGCGAAAAGCTCAAACTGCTCGAAAGACGTTCACGAAACACATGAACTTTTCCGCATCCACAACTGGCAACATAATTTATGGGGATGTCAGCTTGCAAACCGGTCGTACAATCAGACCGCGTGTAGGCGAAACTGGCCGCTATATATATATATATATATATATATATATATATATATATATAATATATATATATATATATATCTCGACATCTGACACCTGCACACCGCAGACCACGCACGCCGTTTGCGACAGCACTACAGCCCCTCTCACAGAGCCGCCGGCAGCCTGGGCCCCGCTCGACACGGCGACTAACGTGGCCGACTTCACACGAGACATGACGCAGCTGACACCGGCCGGGCTCGCAACAGCTTTGCCGGACCGCATGCGTGCGCTGCACCCATCCGCGGCGCGGTCTTTCCGGGACAGGCGTGTCGAGCGAATGTTCGTGGCCAGACGTCTCCCGGTGCTGCCGCTCGCCAGCGGGCCCCGAGCACGTCAGACTCGGTGCGTGACGGGCGAGCGCCGGGCTCGGCCGCGATGTATGATACTCGGCACGTGACAGGCGAGCGCCGGGCTCGGCCGCGCTGTATGGTACTCGGCACGTGACAGGTGAGCGCCGGGCTCGGCCGCGCTGTATGGTACTCGGCACGTGACAGGTGAGCGCCGGGCTCGGCCGCGCTGTATGGTACTCGGCACGTGACAGGCGAGCGCCGGGCTCGGCCGCGATGTATGGTCCTCCGCGCGTGACAGGCGAGCGCCGGGCTCGGCCGCGATGTATGGTCCACCGCGCGTGACAGGCGAGCGCCGGGCTCGGCCGCGATGTATGGTACTCGGCACGTGACAGGCGAGCGCCGGGCTCGGCCGCGATGTATGGTACTCGGCACGTGACAGGCGAGCGCCGGGCTCGGCCGCGATGTATGGTACTCGGCACGTGACGGGCGAGCGCCGGGCTCGGCCGCGATGTATGGTACTCGGCACGTGACAGGCGAGCGCCGGGCTCGGCCGCGCTGTATGGTACTCGGTGCGTGACGGGCGAGCGCCGGGCTCGGCCGCGATGTATGGTCCTCCGCGCGTGACAGGCGAGCGCCGGGCTCGGCCGCGCTGTATGGTACTCGGCACGTGGCAGGTGAGCGCCGGGCTCGGCCGCGCTGTATGGTGGTGACGGTGGTGTGCTTCTCGGATGTCGGAGTACTGGCTAGCTCTGCACCGGCGAAATACTCCGCCAAGTTTGCGAACATGGGGACGAGGGCCCTGTTTCAACAAGCACCTCTAAGCTCGGATGCGGTGTCAACACTTCCTGTAGTGAGCGTTTATGTAATTATGTGAAGGAGGTGCTTCAAAAAGTCAGAAATTATATCAAACTGTCGCTCGTATTACACGTTAGGCCATTCGTGTCCAGGACATGCAATTTTCGTTGTCTTTCCATCAAAGTGTTTTTGCCAGAACCGTGTTGCTAGTTGTTATTAAGAATCCTGACTTAACCCTATGAATACCTGCGCGCGTGACAATATCAATGATGAAAAACATAGCGTATCGTACATGATTGTCCCTTATGAAAACGACGAAAAGCGTGCCACTAGGTGAACTCTGAGCTTTTGTGCCTGACCTGAAATGCCGCACGCAAGCATAACTGGAGCATTTCTTTTGAAGGCGTCTTGGCGCTGCGCTGGAATGCTAAGGCCATCAATCCAGCCATTCGCTTCTACGGCCAGTGCCAGTGGGAGGGTTGGCAGTGGTCGTGTGCTTTAATATTGAGACCCAGACGCGTGACCCGTTCCAGATAACGACACCCAGAGTGCATGTCTTCGTCGCTCCAAAGAGCGGTGCCCAAAGCGTGTCTGGATTGCTCTTGAGAGCATACCCAGCGCGCGTGTCTTGATCAGCCCCACGAGCACGGCGGCAGGTTCCACCAGTCCGTCGGAGAGCGGCCCAGTAGAGCCCGCTAGCTGTCGCCGTCCTACGGACAGTGTCAACACCCGGCGCCAGAGGGGCCGCCGCATCACAGCAGCTGATGCAGACACGGGTCGTGGTAGGAGCGCCGCACCAGCTCCACCAGCGCCGGCCGGCACGAGCCGAACGTGGAGGCCGGACTGAGCACGTCGGCCACGGCCTCCTCCAGCGTCTGCAGCAGGGGCGCGTAGTCGCGGCGCGAGCGCAGGGCCGTCAGCCGCTCGAACGCCTGGTACGCCTCGGGCAGCAGGCCGTGCGGCAGGCCCCTGGCGAAGCGGCGCCCACGGTCAGCCGCGCCGCGCTCCTCAGCCACCGGCGCCACGCGTGATCTCACACACACGTGGTAAGCCCCGTCACGTGATCACGCGTCCGCACCGTGGTCACCCCGATCAGCCGCCAAGGTCAGGCACACGTGGTCAATCACAGACACCACATCGGCGACAAGGCGAGCCATGTCACATTGTCGGGTACCACACCAGTTAAAATTATGGTCAGTCATCACAGTCGGGTTCGCAGTCATCGCCGCCACAGAGCGCTATGGTCAGTCACAGCGGGACCCCCGGCAGCCACCGGGAAGCCCACCACACAAACGTCACGGGACCTGAGTCAATAACCACACCGTCGCAACCACCCAGCGAGCACTTCCCGGCGCTGAAGATACTAACTATAGGTTGGCGATAGATGGACACCGTGTACCATTTAGCATATTCACTGGATCTACTGTCGTTGGAGAGTCGCTCGGTACCGGCCAGCGAGGGACAGAGCGGGGTCACGTACCACTTGGTGTCGCAGCTGGCGGCGCTGTCGCTGGGGAGTCGCTCAGTACCGGCCAGGGAGGGACAGGGCGGGGTCACGTACCACTTGGTGTCGCTGCTGGCGGCGCTGTCGCTGGAGAGTCGCTCGGTCGGCTCCTCCGGGACCGGCTCCAGCCGGAGGGAGCCGTCCGCCCACAGCTGAGACAGCAGCGTGGCCGCCATCACCCGGCACAGCAGCCGGAACCTGACGGCAGGGCACGGCGTCAGCTCAGCGGCGGGTGACGTGAGAGGTGAGGCCGCAGCTAGCACAGCAGGGGGCCCAGAGCCGGGGAGGTGTGGCACGTAACAGCAGCTGGCCCACACAGACAGGGGCTGTGGGCGCTGACACAGCAGCCAGCTAACAAGACAGGGGCTGCGGGCGCTGACACAGCAGCTGGCCCACACAGACCAGGACTGTGGGCGCTGACACAGCAGCCAGCTCACAGACAGGGGCTGTGGGCGCTGACACAGCAGCCAGCTCACATAGACAGGGGCTGTGGGCGCTGACACAGCAGCTGGCTCACACAGACAGGGGCTGTGGGCGCTGACACAGCAGCCAGCTCACACAGACAGGGGCTGTGGGCGCTGACACAGCAGCCGGCTCACACAGATAGGGGCTGTAGGCGCTGACACAGCAGCCAGCTCACACAGACAGGGGCTGTAGGCGCTGACACAGCAGCCAGCTCACATAGACAGGGGCTGTGGGCGCTGACACAGCAGCCGGCTCACACAGACAGGGGCTGTGGGCGCTGACACAGCAGCCAGCTCACATAGACAGGGGCCGTTGGGGCTGACACAGCAGCAGGGGTCTGACAACAAGGCAGATCAGCAGACTCAGAGACAGCGGATATGAGCGACAGTCGCGCAGCTGGACGCCGGCGCCACCCCGCTGCACCCAGCTGGCCAGCTGCTTATTGTTGCTTTAAGGACGCGTCGACTACACCGGTCATTCTGCGTCGGGCGCACAACGCGACACACAAACCAGCTGGTCCCATCTCAGAGCGTCTGTCTGCCTGTCGGCTAAGCGTCGGCATACGCAGACGCATATACATATGCATAGACATAAACACAGGCATAGGCATAAGCATATGTACGCACACACACAGATAATGACCGCGTCTGTCTTGTTTTCCCTTACATAATCGCTTTACCACTTAATTACAAGCCACCCATTTCCCTGTTAATCCTACGCAAATCAATAAAAGAACCGTCACAAAGGCACACAAGCACACCAAACCCCACATTCCAGGTGCCCGGCCCGGCGGCCGGCCTGTGGCGCACGCACTGCGTCGAGAACGGCGAGCGTCGGCCGAGTCCGATGGCGCCGAGCATGCCGCTCCCGTCGCGGTCCTCGCCCCAGGTGAGCAGGGCGGCGGCCAGGGCGCGCGCGTGGCGGCACACGTCCTGGGTGAAGCCGGCGGCCGCCAACCGCTCCAGCAGCAGCAGCGCCTGGTGCAGCAGCAGGCACAGCTTGGGCTCGGCCGAGTCGCTGCCGGGGCAGACGAGGTCAGGAGGAGGCCGGCGGTCGGCGCGGAGCGGTGACGCGCGGGCGACCGGTGCGAGCTGGAGAGCAGGGCGGCCGCGCACGGCTCACCGAGCCCGCTCACCGCACACGACGGCCGCAAGCCAGGTCATGTCACGCAGAAACTCAGCCAGCCAAGGCGTGACCTGAGCGAGACTCCATCATGCCGCGACGATTGGTCACGGCGGTGCGTGCGATGGTGCGGTCACAGCAGCATCCTGCCCGTCCCTCATCAGGGAGGGAGGGGACGAGAACCGTCCTAACCTCAGCATCGACAGCTCAGTCAGACAGCGGACGCAGGAGAGAGGCAAGGGAGGGGAGGCAGTTCTCACCTCAGCACCATCAGCTCAGTCAGCCAGCGGACGCAGGAGGGAGGGAGGAGACGGGAGACGGTTCTCACCTCAGCACCATCAGCTCAGTCAGCCAGTGGACGCAGGAGAGAGGGTAAGGGAGGGGAGGCGGTTCTCACCTCAGCACCGTCACCTCAGTCAGCCAGCGGACGCAGGAGGGAGGGAGGAGACGGGAGACGGTTCTCACCTCAGCACCATCAGCTCAGTCAGCCAGTGGACGCAAGAGAGAGGCAAGGGAGGGGAGACGGTTCTCACCTCAGCACCATCATCTCAGTCAGACAATGAACGCAGGAGAGAGGCAAGGGAGGGGAGACGGTTCTCACCTCAGCATCGTCAGCTCAGTCAGCCAGCGGACGCAGGAGAGAGGCAAGGGAGGGGAGACGGTTCTCACCTCAGCACCGTCACCTCAGTCAGCCAGCGGACGCAGGAGGGAGGGAGGGGCGGGAGACGGTTCTCACCTCAGCATCGTCACCTCAGTCAGCCAGCGGACGCAGGAGAGAGGGAGGGGCGGGAGACGGTTCTCACCTCAGCACCGTCATCTCAGTCAGACAGTGAACGCAGGAGAGAGGCAAGGGAGGGGAGACGGTTCTCACCTCAGCACCATCAGCTCAGTCAGCCAGCGGACGCAGGAGGGAGGGGGGGGGGGCGGGAGACGGTTCTCACCTCAGCATCGTCACCTCAGTCAGCCAGCGGACGCAGGAGGGAGGGAGGGGCGGGAGACGGTTCTCACCTCAGCACCGTCACCTCAGACAGTGAACGCAGGAGAGAGGCAAGGGAGGGGAGACGGTTCTCACCTCAGCACCGTCACCTCAGTCAGCCAGCGGACGCAGGAGGGAGGGAGGGGCGGGAGACGGTTCTCACCTCAGCACCGTCATCTCAGTCAGACAGTGAACGCAGGAGAGAGGCAAGGGAGGGGAGACGGTTCTCACCTCAGCACCGTCACCTCAGTCAGCCAGCGGACGCAGGAGGGAGGGAGGGGCGGGAGACGGTTCTCACCTCAGCACCGTCATCTCAGTCAGACAGTGAACGCAGGAGAGAGGCAAGGGAGGGGAGACGGTTCTCACCTCAGCATCGTCAGCTCAGTCAGCCAGTGGACGCAGGAGAGAGGCAAGGGAGGGGAGATGGTTCTCACCTCAGCATCGTCAGCTCAGTCAGCCAGTGGACGCAGGAGAGAGGCAAGGGAGGGGAGACGGTTCTCACCTCAGCATCGTCAGCTCAGTCAGCCAGTGGACGCAGGAGAGAGGCAAGGGAGGGGAGACGGTTCTCACCTCAGCATCGTCAGCTCAGTCAGACAGTGAACGCAGGAGAGAGGCAAGGGAGGGGAGACGGTTCTCACCTCAGCATCGTCAGCTCAGTCAGACAGTGAACGCAGGAGAGAGGCAAGGGAGGGAGACGGTTCTCACCTCAGCATCGTCAGCTCAGTCAGACAGTGAACGCAGGAGAGAGGCAAGGGAGGGGAGACGGTTCTCACCTCAGCATCGTCAGCTCAGTCAGACAGTGAACGCAGGAGAGAGCAAGGGGGGGAGACGGTTCTCACCTCAGCATCGTCAGCTCAGTCAGACAGTGAACGCAGGAGAGAGGCAAGGGAGGGGAGACGGTTCTCACCTCACATCGTCGTCAGCTCAGTCAGACAGTGAACGCAGGAGAGAGGCAAGGGAGGGGAGACGGTTCTCACCTCAGCATCGTCAGCTCAGTCAGACAGTGAACGCAGGAGAGAGGCAAGGGAGGGGAGACGGTTCTCACCTCATCGTCAGCTCAGTCAGACAGTGAACGCAGGAGAGAGGCAAGGGAGGGGAGACGGTTCTCACCTCAGCATCGTTAGCTCAGTCAGACAGTGAACGCAGGAGAGAGGCAAGGGAGGGGAGACGGTTCTCACCTCAGCATCGTCAGCTCAGTCAGACAGTGAACGCAGGAGAGAGGCAAGGGAGGGGAGACGGTTCTCACCTCAGCATCGTCAGCTCAGTCAGACAGTGAACGCAGGAGAGAGGCAAGGGAGGGGAGACGGTTCTCACCTCAGCACCGTCACCTCAGTCAGACAGTGAACGCAGGAGAGAGGCAAGGGAGGGGAGACGGTTCTCACCTCAGCATCGTCAGCTCAGTCAGCCAGTGGACGCAGGAGGCGGCCAGCTGGCGGGGCTCAGCCTCGGCCTGCAGCCGCTGCAGCAGGTAGAGGTGCAGCACCAGCAGGTTGCCGGCCGCCTGGCTGGCCGTCAGCAGGCGCTCCACGGACGCAGCCGGGAACTCGGCCAGCTGAGCCAGGTCCAGCCAGTGCGCGCTCGACTCTGGCCACACACGCACGGGCACGTTATCCTTCCGCCTCCACCCCTGAGGTACGCGGAGGCGGGCTAACAGCGGCGAGACGTCCGCATGCTTTGTGTACGACAGTCTACAACACTGCCGCTTGGTTCGAAAGATCGTAGTTTTCAGTTCACTTGGTAGCGTCGACAGCAGGCGTGACGACGGTGTCTCCACACCAGTCCGAGCGCAAATCACGCCAGGAAACGTCCCACGCCGAAGCGGACAAGTCGTCACAAGCTTCTGCAGTCGAGGAGAGCAAGTTCGGTGAGCTGACCTTTGGCTAAGATGGTAGACATTAGGGCCTCCCAGAAGTTGGAGAGGTGCTGCATGTCATAGATGGTGGTGCCGGACGTCCTCAGCATGGGGCAGAGCAGGACAGAGGAACTCTCCTCCGCCACCTCAGCAACAGAAGCACAGAACAATATTCACACAGGCTGCGTGCGAACCAAACTAGGGTCGGTGGAAGATACCCGGGAGGGTAAAGCACGCCGCATTCGCACTGGACACCAATCAATACCGCCAACATGTTGCGCGTTGGCCCAGGCCGCACGTTAGCCTGAAGCCAAAGGAGAGCACTGCACTTCCGTTCAGTTATGGGCCATACACTCGGTGAAGGCAAGTATTCTGTCAACTCTGTTGAAATGAATCGAATGAACATTGGCATGTAAAACCAGCGACTAACTGCATGCCTTGCGTTCCATGTGATTCGCCCAAAAGGAGAACACATAGCCGCGAAGCGTCTTGAGTTGGACGCACACTTCCGCGCGATAGCCCTCGAGAGCAGTGACAAGGTCTCAGCGCGGGCCCACCACGGAGGCCCACCACGGAGGCACCGCGCAGCGCGCCATGTCGGCGGCCGGCCGACTCACCCATTTGGTGAGGCGACTGGCGCACAGGTTCTGCAGCGGCGCCGGGGACCGGGCGCTGGCGCACTGCAGCAGCTCGCGCGTCAGCAGGGTGGCCTCCCGGAACCCCTCGTCCGGCGACACTGCAGCGCCGGCACACGCCGGTGAGGCGGCACACGGGCGCGTCACGGCCGGACGCCACCGACATCGCGGGGCACTCTCAGCCATGCAGTGTTCGGTTCGATTCACTGCCTTTCAAGCCGACCACAACACTGCAGCGCATGCCTTTTGATTCTTCGAAGGTTCCCAATCGGAAAAGATCGGAGCTTCCGATCTTTGGGATTTAACGCCTGATGCAAACCCGTTCATCGATACATTACGAAGCCTATCCATTAGACAATTCTGCACCTGCAGTGCAATGAGGGCGAGGTTCACTTAATATCCAGTCACACCGACAGTGACTCACTCTTGGCCACGATCAGCTCCGTCTCCTGCAGCAGGCGGAGCAGTGTGCGGGTGAAGCCGTGCGGCTGCGCTGTCACCAGGCTCTTGTGAGTGGCGGCGGCGTTGACCAGCAGCCGCACCACGCCCGACACGTAGGCGGTGCGCTTCTGACTCGCCTCCGGATGCAGCCGCGCCGCCGTCGACACGTGGCCGGCCGCCACCTGCAGGAACCTGTCGGCACACGGTCCTCGCCAGTCAGCGGCGAAGCGGGGTGGCTCGAGCGGCGCCAGGTCAGCGGTGTAGCCGGGACCACGCCAGATGCTGGGGCTCGTTGTCAGCCGGGACAACGCCAGATGCTGGGGCCCGTTGTCAGCCGGGACAACGCCAGATGCTGGGGCTCGTTGTCAGCCGGGACAATACCAGACGCTGGGGCTCGTTGTCAGGCGGGACAACGCCAGACGCTGGGGCTCGTTGTCAGGCGGGACAACGCCAGATTCTGGGGCTCGTTGTCAGGCGGGACAGTGCCAGACGCTGGGGCTCGTTGTCAGCCGGGACAACGCCAGATGCTGGGGCTCGTCGTCGGCCGGGGTAACGCCAGATGGTGGGGCTCTTTGTCAGGCGGGACGACGCCAGACACTGAGGCCCATTGTCAGCCGGGACAATGCCAGACGCTGGGGCCTGTTGTCAGCCGGGCCAACGCCAGATGCTGAGGCTCGTTGTCAGGTGGGACAACGCCAGACGCTGGGGCCCGTTGTCAGCCGGGACAACGCTAGATGCCGAGGCTCGTTGTCAGGCGGGACAATGCCAGACGCTGGGGCTTGTGATCAGCCGGGACAACGCCAGATGCTGGGGCTCGCTGTCAGCCGGGGCAACGCCAGACGCTGGGGCCCGATGTCAGCCGGGATAACGCCAGACGCTGGGGCTCGTTGTCCGCGCAACTTAAGGAATATACCAATGCATACAAGACAGGTGTGAGCCGGAGGACCCACGCATCAGAGATCGTGAGATATGTGCACCCCGAAAACCAGCATTCGCGATTGTCGGCACGCACGCCAGGCGCGTACAGTGCGGAGTTTGTCATGCACGCGTGCTGGGATGTGCGCCACACTAGTGACAAACGTCGACGCTTGACGTTGCTCACTTGACAGCAGTGGCGTCGTCAGAGATCTCAGGCTGAGGGGCAAACAAGTAGGCCAATGCGCGTACCAAACAAATTTTCGCGTATTTCGGAAAGGTCCAGATTTAGGGGGTTTCGTCTTGAGGTGAGATGGGCGGGAGGGGGGGGGGGCTATCTCTGCATCTCCCGTACCAACGCCTATGCTCGGCGGCATCGCTGTCACTACTCTTCATCGTTATCACCGCACACCTCTTCGGTACAACACGCACGCACGCACCGTTTCTTGGCCACGTGACCTATAGTGGGAATCGTTTCGCAATGCCTCGTCGGCCATGAAGTATCGCGAAAAGCTGGTAAAACTTGCCGAAGCGTATTTAATCTCCTTTATTGTAAATCATCCCTAAATAATTTTAAATCTGTCACTTAGCGCTGCATCTCAAACGTATGGTGAACGTAAACAAGGCCCAAACATGCACAACTGACTGCATATTTCTTCGTTTTTAACGCCATTTTATTCCATACACACCAACCGCCGTTACGTATCATTCACGCACATGTCCTAGTATTGGTGCCTTGGTACAATGGCGCAGTGCGCCAGAGACCCTTCCAAACACATTAGCGATGGAGACTGGGCCGTGCTTTTGCACTTATTGTGGTTGGAAACTCATTTTAAATGTCAGCTTTCTCGCCACGGTGTGGAAACTAGTACTTTCGACAACTTTTCCACAGCTCATCCCATTACATTGCAAACTTTCGTGATCCTGGATCCCGGCCCCAGCGTGGATAGCCTTAATATAATGCCGTATTTGGCCCAGTTTCAAGTACGATAGGCCCACCACCGGCCGGTGTGCTGCGAAGAAAATGACATCAACACGACCCTTGTGTAAACAACCATTGAAAAGCTCACATTCCTGCCAGGACGCTTGCCCACTACCCACTACAACCTTGCCACTGTGACGTAGTCAGCAGCCAGTGCTAAGCACAGCCAGGCCACGTGCTGGCTGTCAGCCGTTGCCTCGGGACCGTGCACACCGCACGGCCCACGTCCACGGCTCCCGCGCTCCATATCGCTCTCTATGACCGGTCACGCCGACCGCCCCCCCCCCCCTTCACAGCGCCGCCCCCCCCCCCCCCCCCACACAACAGGCCACACGACCTCCCACCGCGCGTACGCGCGGCGGGTTCGCCCCGCTATGGGGCGACCGTCACCGGGTCTGACGGCGGAGCCGGGGCCTCAGCGGCCGGCGCCGGCGGCGCGCCCAAAACACCGCGTCAAGGCCGCCGCGCCGCGCGCCGGCGTCAGACGGAGCCGCGCCACGGCACGGGATGGAGAGGACCGCGGCGGCGGCGGCGCTGCTGGCGCTGGCGGCGGCGGCCGCGGCGCGTCAGGCGCCGGTCCTCCAGGTCCGACTCAGCCACGTCACGCACGACCGGGCCGAGGTGCAGATCGTGAAGCGCAACTCCACGGCCGATCAGGTGAGCGCGCCGGTCACGTGCGGGTCACGTGAGGCACGGGGAACCGCGCACGGGCGGGCTGGCTTGACGGCGCGCGCAGAAGCAGCGCCTGTTAGGTCGGTTTTTCTCCTGGGGGAACGGAATGCTGACCAAACAACTTGCTGAGTCTGCAACTGCTGAGTTACCCAACGAGAGGGACGGGATGGCCGCCGCTGACCGGCCCCGGACAGCGTAGCTGGTGCTTGCTCTCCAGCTGCCAATGCTCGCAGCCCAGGTATTTCCCAGTGTCCGTACTCAATGTCAGTGGCTTACAACTCAAACATGCTGCTCAAGGCATGCAAACGCTATGCCAAGAGAATGCTATGCATACCCTTACGACATTAAAAGCCCATCGGGCCATACACTTTCCGCTGATAAAATTTTCAGTCCAAAAACGGCAAAATTGTTCCCCCCCGACCGCCTCACATGACGCCAGTGTGTCCTACCAGTATGTTACTGCGGCATGGCAGGCGTCAGGCAATTTGGAATAAAGCGTCATTGCGTTCATGCTGAGATGCGAAAGGGGGCAAGAAACAAGTACGGCCATCTGTGTTTGTAAGCAGCCCGAACCATATCTGCTCGACGCCACATTAGCTTCTGAGAAGTATGCTTCTATGAACACCGTGCTACTTCCGCCATGCATTGCAACTAACGCGTGAATGTACGCAAAGGTGGACAGAAATAGTGCAAACTAAATTGTCTTCAGCTGTTTATGCATACTTCCACATGCGTGCTTACACGCATGCGTACACAATTCTACTGTACTGAATACCTGGCTCACTATAACCTTCAGAAGTTAAATGTTATCACCCCCCCCCCCCTTACTGCCAATGCACGCTGAAGGTTCCCCAGGATTTGTTTACGTCTACCGTTTCGCGTTTAAGCCGCAGTGACGTCATCACGGGGGACGTCGTTCCGTGGTATCCTCTGCCCCCTTCCCTCACCGACGGCGTCCGTCACGTAGAACTGAGTCAGGTCCGGAGCACCGCAGCGGACCCGCTCGAGCCGAATCAGCTCGGAGCGGGCGCGATCCTCCTTAGTCAACTCCATGATTGTGCGATAGTCTGGGAAGACCGACTGCGCGCAACTGCATTTGAGGCAAACCTAGACCGCTCCTCCTGATGTATTCCGTCGCGCGTCGGCGCAGCGTTCAATGTTGATGTCGCCATCACGTGCTCTGGCTGGGGCCACCTTCACCCCGCAGCGTCGTAACACCGCCGTGCTTGCGTCATCAGGTGGTGGTGACACTCTCCAGGTTGGACAACCACACCGACTTCCAGCAGCTGAAGACGCAGCTGGACCCGGGCGTCCAGAACGAGCTGAAGAGGCTCACATTCGGACCCCTATCCCGAGGAGCCAAGTACAGGTATTCACACAGCAGCCGCCTTATGAATGAGCAGTGCAGACAAGTTATGACGCACCACGCCCAATCTGGGTACACAGTTTCAGGGTTCCTAGGCGTGTACTCGGATACGCTAACGTCAAATCCCGCTGGGTGCAATCTCCACGACGTCGCACGTGTCGCTGATCGGTGTCATTTTTCACCATGCGTAGAGTCTGGAGATCGAGTGATAACGCGCCTAATAATGGAAAAATACGAGAAAACCTGTAGTCTCATCGCACGGGTAGTATGATAAGTGTCAGCTGGAGCTACGCACGGTGATAAAGCATGACTTGCCTCACGAACCAGACTGTGTCACGCTGCTGTCCGCGCCTTCGCAAACAGTGTTGGAGGCCGCGTGGCGCGTGACGGGAGTAACGCACCCACTGAAGAGCAGCAGTTTAGCTGCGTAACCCACACAATGACTGGCACGTCCACGTAGCTGTCGCGGTAGGCCGGGCTTCAGCACGCAGGGGCGCGTCGAAAACGAGATCTCTGCGGCGGTCTCATGCAGAGACGCGTCAGGCAGCTGGCCGGAAGTTCCAGGTTCCACACGCTGACTCATCCGGCGGTCATGTCACGCACCGCCAGGGTCGAGGCCGGTTCTCCATATCGCAAATACGTAGACTGCTCTCGTTGCCGAAATGTTTTTCTCTTCGACGCCTGCTTTGAGTGCAGATGCCACCATTCTCAAATCAAATGTAAACGACCGCCGCGATCTCAGCTGCTGGTTTCATGTTTGAAGGAGGTCGGACCCTGAAGGGCATCGACCATGATCCTGAATCCAAAGTGAGCTGTGCTGGATTGAAGCACCGCACGCGGCATGTCTTTCAGGATATGCAGCAGCGCTCGAAATAACGGGACGATCGTGGGAGGCAGCAAGTGCTTCCCCATCCGAACCTTTGAGGACCGGTTCCTCATAACAGGTCAGTCGCCTCAGCACAGGCCTTTCAGGCCAGGCCGCTCACAAGTGCCTCCTAGTTTAGTCACCGACCCACAGCGGGACCGTTTTCTTCCGCGCCACTTGTACTTCGCGTTTAACAATTCATATTCGATATCATTGACTTGCATTTTATCGCTATATATATATATATATATATATATATATATATATATGTATATATATGTTCTTTAATTTATAATGTTCTCTCTCTGCAGTCATTTATCAATATCGTTGTGTTACGTCTGGAGCATCTTACGAGGGTTCAACCTTTCGTAGCTTGCACTGCAGAGCACGGCAACACGTACGAAGTATACGAAGTACATAAATGATAGCGTCTGCTGTCCTTGCCATGAAATTTTTACTACTTTATGTATATATATATATATATATATATATATATATATATATATATCATTAACTAACACATAAACACCATATTTTTAGTCCCCCACAACCATCGTCTGCAGATGGTGCCCAGCCACGCTTCCAAAGGCGTTCTGCACCCCATCAGCCGTAAAGGCGTAGAAGGCGTTGACACGTTCCCCACCCGGGTGTGTTTGACCCGTCGGCATCACGCCTCGCCGCCTGTGGCGAGCGTCCGTGACGGGCAGCGTCTGCCGGACGACAGGTGTGATCACCGGCGCCGTCACGGCCGGCGTCGTAGTGCTGCTCGCCGGCGCGCTGTACGCCCTGTACCGGGCCGTCTACGGCAGGAGGACGTCCAAGACGATGGTCGTCAACGACACGGGGAAGCGGTACGTCTTCGGAGGTCGGCGTGCGTGCCGGTTTCTTCGCGTACTTGTCCCCGAGAAGTGTGAAACAAGCTGGATGGGGAGTGTCCATGCCGTTCTCTGAAGGTGTCCAACGACCGGATGAAAGTACTCTGAGGGCGTGCTTAAACCGACCATCGTCTACCGCCCGTAGCTGTTAACGAACGGCAGGCGGCTCACCGATAGATTAGTTACGAAGCAAACACGTTGGAGCTCCGGCATCGTCTCCCAATTCGCCTCGTTTGTTGTTGTTTTTTGCCAGGTTTCGCTCTTAAACCCCGAAAATGTGTTTTTTGGTGTTTTGTTTTGGCTTTACCATGGTCCCTTTGGGAGATGAGCACAACACATGCGTTTGACGAAACGTGGCAGTGTTTTCGGCCAGACCGCCAAGGCGAGCTCTACCGAGTACAGGTGTAAAAGTAGCAATATTCCGTTTGTCTGCTGCTGCTAGGGTTGACAAAATACGCTTTAAGATCACCGTGCTCGCCGCACTCTACCAAAACAGGATGGACAACATTTTTGGCGGGTCTAATTCCTTCAAAAATACGCTCATCTTGGTAATTACATCTGCACGTAACCTCCCCCCCCCCCCCATACACAAAGATTACCTACCCGCCAAAGAAAACGCATTAAAGACGATTCTTCCGCACCACCAACACTGCTTTTTCAGGGCAAACGGTGTGGACAACCCGGCGGCCACGCTCCCGTGACGGCACGACGCTCGCCAGCGAACGCAGCCGCCGCCGCCGCCGCGCCCGCCGGCCGGACGACGCGGGGCCGCCGGCCGGACGACGCGGGGCCGCTTTGGCCGGACGTGGCCGGTGGCGGCAGGGGGCCAGGCCGGGGTTTCCGTGCGCCCGACGCCGCCCGCGCGGGGCGGGCCGTGGCCGTGGCTTCAGTGTGTGACCAGCGCTCCGGGCCGCCATGCACGTCCACCAGCAGGGGAGGGGGGGGGGGGGGAGCTGGCGACGCAAAGCGTGTGCGTCGCGCTAATGCCATGCTAATTATACAGACCGGGGCCTTTCGATTTCTAGTACCTTTTCACTGCGTATGTTGAACCTGCTATGACGCTTCGTAAGTTAGAGCCCGTTTTTCAGGTAATGATGATATTTTTCTATGTACATTTTTCCAACTGTCAACAAGCCCAGGGATACGCTCCATTGAGCTTATGTGAATTGGTTACAACTGGCGACTTTTGCTTCAAGGCCTCCGTGCTCAAACACAGCTAACGGTGCTTGGGGCTTGTCCCGCTGATATAAATAAGCGGTTTATCTGGAGCGCCAAGCCAGCGCGCCCGTACAAACAACCGTTTACAATAAAGACCGTAAGCCTTTGGACGAACATATAAGACCACCCCGGAGCAAATCGCCGTGCCAGACAGCCCAGTGCGGCGACCGAGTCCGGCCGAACTCGGGTTCCGAATCCGAATCCGTTACCGGGCGATTCCTCGAACCCCGAGGAATCGCCTGAGCCAATCGCCTGGGAAAACCGCAGACCGAGAGACGGGTGAAGACTACGCTATAGTCGCTTGGCACACAGCCGGCATGGCTCTGACACGGCCCACGCCCCTGAGCCAAACCCAAAACGGAGACTCCGACAGCGCTCGATGACTGGTTTCTTTTAGGACTTTGTAAATGCTATCACTGGGCTCGCTACCGCGGAACCGATTCTGCATCTCGCGTTATTCACCCGCCAAACAACGTTATTTTATCCACGTTTGTTATCTTAAATGCACGGATCATAGGAAATTATTCATCACTATGTAAAATGGGCATTATCTGTGATCTGGCAACAGTTCGTGTGGTTACTTACATAGGACAGATGTTGCGAAGACACTAGATTACTTCATCAGTAAAACACGTTGTGTGTTCTGCTGTTCACGGTCGCAGAAGAAAACGCGTCAGAACCTCACAGACGCGCCAACACTACCCTTCGCCAGCGGACTGCACCAGGTCGCCGGCTGCGGGCACTCACCCGATCAGGGCCACGTCCACCGGCTCCCGCGCCTCCGTCTCCAGCACGGAGACGGGGTCGCAGGACATGATGTACCAGCTGAGCACGCGCTGGTAGGTGGCTGCGTCCAGCAGGTGCCAGCCGAATGCCTCGGCCCGGCTCAGCAGCAGGAACAGCGCGCCCGACTGCAGGGCGGAGGTCAGGGCGGGTCAGGGGCGTCAGAGAGCGAGCACGGGGTCAGGGGTCAGCTACGTCAGGGACTGGGCACGAAATCAGGGGTCAGCTGCGTCAGGGACTGGTCACGGGGTCAGGGTTCAGCGGCATCAGGGAGCGGATATGGGGTCCGGGATTAGGCACGGGGTCATGGGTCAGCTGCGTTGGGGAGCGGATACGGGGTGAGGGGCCAGCAGCGTCAGAGAGCGGACACGGGGGCAGGAATTGGGCACAGCGTCAGGGCTTGGGGCACGGGGCCAGGAGTGAGCGGCGTCAGGGAGTAGACACGAGATCAGGGGCCAGGGGCTTCAGGGACTGAACACAGGTTCAGGGACTGGGCACAAGTTCGGGGATCAGCGGCGTTAGGGACCGGGCACGAGTTCGGGGACTGGGCACGGGGTCAGGGACTGGACGCAGGATCAGAAATCTGTGGCGTCAGGGACTGGGCACGGGGTCAGGGTTCAGCCGCGTAAGGGACGTGTCAGAGACCGGGCACGGGGTCAGGGGTCAGCCGCGTCATAGGGCGGAAACGGGGTCAGGGGTCGGCGGCGTCAGAGAGCGGGCGCGGGGCTATCACACGACAGATACGACCGCAGCACTGCCACTGGCTATTGGACTCGAGCACGTGCCTTGCTTCGCCGAATCACAAACAGAAAAAACGTAATAACATAAAAGCAAAGACGCGCATTTCGTGCAATTCCGTTATTTCACACGACGTGAGCAGGTCAGACTGGCTCATGCGTCAGCAGTAAGACGCACGGTATCTTACACAAACCCCTTGATCGGCAACAACGGAGTCTTCACCACCGGCTGACATGCAGGCCAACACATTGTGTTGATGTGTTGGCCTGCAACAACAAATGACACAACACGTAACAACACCACAACACACCGGCGCGGCCTGAACCGCGCCAGTCGCGAGGGAGCAGCACACGGCGCCAATCCTCCGGCCGGCCGCTGGCACCCGTCCGGCTGCCGCGCCTCACCTGGCGTATCTTCGGTTCGAAGGCCACCTTGACGAGGATGGCGAACAAGCAGAGGTGGAGCCGCACGCTGGCCGTGGGGCTCTCGCGCTCGTACACCTCGACCACCTCCCGCCAGGGGAGCTGCACCACCACCTGGCGTCAGAGAGGACAGACGCTGCTCACACGGACCGAGCGCCGCCGCCGCCGTCTCACACACGTCAGTGACGCCGCGGGCAGGCGGGCGGCCCAGGCGCTCGGCGCTCACTTTTCGGCTCAACGCCACACGCTGATGACATGACCAACGGTGCCTGTTTGGTGAAACCTCTGACCAATTAGCAATATGCTTAAACCAAAGGTGGAACGCATACGCTTTTCACGTCTTGGTGGGCTCATATCGCGTTACGTGGTTTTGGCGAATGGCCATTGTCAAAATGAGTACCCATACGGTTTTGATCACCGTTTAGAAACGTCAGAAACCATGTGAACTAACCGGAAAATTGAACAAGGACCCACAAAACCTTCTCGCCTTCCTTTCTCACAGCATGACATCTGCCATTACCTCAACACAAATTCTTATCTCAGCGCTTCCTCGCATGGCTGTAAACAGGATGTGGGGACTGGCGCCACTCGTCACGCGACCACCCCATGCTCCACCGACCGGAATGCTGCCGCGGCGCGCGGCGCCTACCTGGGCGGCGAACGAGTGCGCCTCGGGCAGGTACACGTCCAGCAGCTGCACCATGCGCTCGACGTCGTGCAGCTGGGGCGACAGTCGGTCCCAGGGCAAGGTCAGCAGCTCGGCCTGCACCAGCGCGCGCACGTGCTCCGGCACCGAGGGCAGCGCGTACACGGTGCAGTAGTGCTCCCAGAGGTGCGACAGCGCCGGCCGCGCCGCTGGCGGCGGGGGCGGGGGTCAGCTGGCGTCTGACGCCGACGACCGCCTGCTCACGGACAGCTGAGGACTGAGGGGGGGGGGGAGGTGGCGTCTCGCGCCAGCGGGAGGTCGCGGGCACACACCGGCCAACATCGCCATAAAACAGCCCGCTCAAGGGAGAACTGGCGGCTGAGTGACGTCACGAAGTACACGCCACCAAGCAAGAACCAAGTGCAAACAAGCACCAAGTACAAGCAAGAACACGCCACCAAAGTACACCAGCGCGAGTCAGTCCAGCGCAGCAAACCTGCGGCCACCATGGGCGGCGGCGGCGGAGGCTCACCGGGCAGCGTGTTGTTGAGCATCATGACGCAGTGCAGAAACATGGTGAGCATCATGTGCGCGTGCGGCCCGTCACCGGGCACCCAGGCGGGCAGGTGCTGCTTGTCGGCGGTCAGCTGCTGCATCCAGGCGGCGCACCGCTGCCAGACTTGTCGGTCCGACAGCGAGAGCGGCGACAGCCACGGCGCGAATGTGTCGCGCAGCATCAGCCACAGCTCGGCCAGCACTGCCCAGAGGAGGCACGACACGTTAGGCGAGGCACGTCCGGTACAGCTGAAGGGGAGGGCGACCGCCTCAGTGGACACCGCGGGGAGCGTCCGCCACCACTGTAGAGGGAGAGCAGGCTACTCCGAGAAAACGCCAGGAACACCAGCCAACCACACATACAGAGAGCTGCTGCCTCAGGAGATCATGCGGCATCAACGCCGTGGCCACCACTAGCCACAGGCTCGGGACTCGCGCTGGCCGCCTCACGCCGGTCGGGCTGCGGCCGTTCGGGACTCACGCCGGTCGGAGAGCGAGCCGCGGTCGTTCGGGACTCACGCCGGTCGGAGAGCGAGCCACGGCCGTTCGGGACTTACGCCGGTCGGAGAGCGAGCCGCGGTCGTTCGGGACTCACGCCGGTCGGAGAGCGAGCCGCGGTCGCTCGAGACTCACGCCGGTTGGAGAGCGAGCCGCGGTCGCTCGGGACTCACGCCGGTCGGAGAGCGAGCCGCGGTCGCTCGAGACTCACGCCGGTTGGAGAGCGAGCCGCGGTCGCTCGGGACTCACGCCGGTCGGAGAGTGAGCCGCGGTCGTTCGGGACTCACGCCGGTCGGAGAGCGAGCCGCGGTCGCTCGGGACTCACGCCGGTCGGAGAGCGAGCCGCGGTCGCTCGGGACTCACGCCGGTCGGAGAGCGAGACGCGGCCGTTCGGGACTCACGCCGGTCGGAGAGCGAGACGCGGCCGTTCGGGACTCACGCCGGTCGGAGAGCGAGACGCGGCCGTTCGGGACTCACGCCGATCGGAGAGCGAGACGCGGCCGTTCGGGACTCACGCCGGTCGGAAACCGGGCTGCGGTCGTTCGGGACTCACGCCGGTCGGAGAGCGAGCCGCGGTCGTTCTGGATGGCGCCGATGACAGCCCTGCTGGCGACCAAGGCCAGCAGCACGGACAGTGGCGCCGTGTAGAGCTTGTAGCGCGGGTAGAGGCCGTACAGGCCGCCCTCCAGGCGCTCCTGCAAGAACCGCGACGCCAGCAGCTTGCACGTGTGGAGAGCCTGCCGACAGAGCATCATGACGCGATGCAGTAAGAATGCCGGAGAGAGGCCAGCCGGCTGCCCGGAGCAGCGTGGGTTAAGTAGGCAACAGAGGGACACCATGTCACGGCCTTCGTGCGGCACTAACATTAACAGTCACTGTCATTCAATGGGTCTGCCATGTTGATTATGCTTGGTGGGGACGTGAGTTAAGTAGGCAACAGAGGGACACCATGTCACGGCCTTCGTGCGCCACTAACATTAACAGTCACTGTCATTCAATGGGCCTGCCATGTTGATTATGCTTGGTGGGGACGTGACAATGCAGAATCAACACGCTATTCTACGGTTTTGCTAATCTCGCCCTACTGAACAGCCCGTCCGGGGTGCCAGGTTAACAGAGTTTTCCTTATTCTGCTAATCCCACCCTCCTGAACGGCCCGTCCGGAGGTGCCAGCTTAGCAGAGTTTTCACCCGTCTTACCAGATTCTCCCTCCTAGGCGGCCCATCCTAGGGTGCCAGGTTAGCCGAATTTTCCTCGCTCGGCTAATCTCGCCCTCATGGGGGTGGGGGGGGGGGGGGGGCGGGCACCCGGGAGTCCCAGCTTTATCCGAGTGTTCCTCAGGTCCATGGGAGTAGCAGACAGTGCAGCGCTCCGCACCAGGGACTCACCTCCGTCGACTGGAGCGGGCCGGGCCGGCCGGCCACCGCCGCCACCGCCAGCCGGCGCTGCTCGTCGTCCATCTGGGCCGTAAACTCGGCCGCGTCCGCCGCCAGCACGTTGACGAAGTCGTACCAGCACATGACGCTGAGCCTGTTGTCGCGGCTGGCGTCCAGCAGGCGCTGCAGCACCTCGCCGTAGTGCTCGGGGAACTGGTGCCGGTGCAGCTGCGTCAGGTGGCGCCGGTACAGCGCGTGCAGCGGCGCCCACTCGGGCCGCTCCGGGTGCGGCCCGAAGGCGCTCAGCGCGCCCACCAGTACGCTGAGCAGCGCCGAGCGCTGCGCCAGCGACGGCCGCTGCCGCTCCAGCCACGTCTCCAGGTCAAACTGGCGGCGGAGGGCTGCTGTCAGGGACGATGAGGCGGGGCAGGGCGGGAGCGGGGGCGATCGGCGACGCGGGATGGCAACGCCTGGGACGGCAGGCGGTGTTTGAGGAGGCGAGCGGTCAGCTGGCGTTTGACGCCGGTGACTAGGTGAAGGCGGACAGGCGAGGACTGAGAGGGGGGGGGGGGGGGGGGGGGGGGGGGGGGGGGGGGTTGGTGGGGGGGGTGGTTTTGTTGGTGGTGGGGGGTTGTTTTTTTTTTTTTGTGTTTTTGATTTCTCCTCCGTCAGCGGGAGATCGGACACGCGCCCGGTGACATTGGCATACGAGGCGGGAGATGGAGAAGAGCCATGATTCTCTGGCGAGGTAATGGACATGCGGACCCAGTGAAAAACGAACAGCTTTGCACCTTTGCTCACCTTTGTTTTGCAGATCTAACACGAATACCAGGGTACAGAACCCCAAACCCGAAGAATAAAGCACTGCAGACCAGTGCAAGTAAAGCATCGCACTCAAAGAGTCAAACACCAGTGAACGTGCGCAAACTGACCCCACCTGCCAGCGCCTCTTGACCCCAAACCGCAGGCATCTGGCGTCGCCGTCCGCACGGCCGCCAGTGACGCCCCACACCCACCTTTTCGAGCAGCGGGAGCACGATCTCGCTCTTGTCACGCGACACGCAGCTAAGCGTCTCGTAAAGCCGGACGAAGGTGTCGGCGTCGGCGGCGGCCGGCGTCAGGTGCGGCGACAGCTGGTCCAGCAGCGCGCCCTGACGCAGGATCGCCTCCAACAGCGGGCCACACTCGGCCGCGTGCTGCTGCACGAACGTCTGCCGCACGGGGGGGGGGGGGAGAACAGTCAGCCGGCGGAGCCGTGGGGCCGTCTGGCGACGCGTGTGACTGCCGCCACTAACGCTCTGGAGGAAGTCAGGACCGTCAAAGGTTTCCTGCACCTTTCCATTCAGCATTGTCCTACTCCTGAGGTTTCTGTAATGAACGGCGCTTGTGTCATGACTCTTACAAGCTTCCCTACAGCTGGAGCATCGGCCTTCAGACCCTTGCTTCTAAGCAGATGGTCTGCCAGGTAGAAAACCAAAAGCCATCTTCAGTAGGCGCGGCCTAGATCGTGCAGGACGGGACGGGACGGGACGGGACGGGGACGGGGACGGGGACGGGGACGGGGACGGGGACAGGTCCGGGACCGGACGGGGGACAGGCCCGGGACGGGACAGCACGGACCCGGGACAAGGCAGATAGGGCCTCTCACCTGCCCCAGCACGTCGAGACAGGCCGAGAGCAGCCGACTGACGGCCGGGCACTGGCGGGTCTCCTCCGTGGTGTTGGAGACGATGTGGTGGAAGAGGCGGGCGCCGATCCGCTGCAGCAGCGGCGGGTACAGACCGTCCTGCCGGTACCGCCTCACCAGCGCCCTGGCAGCACAGCCGCCGCAACGTCACCAACATCCCACCACGGAACGAACACGTATGCGAAGACGGAACGGTCGCTCACGGACATAGACGCACAAGGAATGAAGCAGCCGACGATAAAACACAAAACATACAAAACCGGTCAGGAGCCCACAACGGTTTTGCCACAAGCGAGGAGAATGTCAGGGCAATGCATTCGTTGGCGGCCGCCTGATCCGACCCTCCGTGCCATTCAGAGCACCGGCACACCGCGCACCCCCGGCTCCCAGGCCTGTTGCGTATGGGCCATCGCCGCGCCGTCGCCGCGCCGACGCCAACCCCGCCCCGTCCGTCACAGCGACCACTGCCGTGACGCGCGCCGGCAGCCCGCCGCGTGACCGCGCCGGCCGAGCGTACTGTATGTATGCCTCCAGCCGGACGGCGGCGACGCCGAGCAGCAGCGGCGGGTCGGCCAGCGCCGCCCGCTCCAGCCGCGCCGCCAGCTGCCGGTTGTCGTCGATGCGGTGGTACACGCCGCCGTCCAGGCGGGCCGTCTCGCACTGCGGCGCCGCGCGAGCCGGGTCAGCGTGAGAGTTCTGGCGTGGCGGGACAGCGCACGGACGCGCGACACGCGAGAGGGGAAACACGGGCCCGACGCAGGCACCCGGCGTGGTTGCGTCCGCGCACTGTCCGTTAATGGGGGGGGGGGGGGGGGGGGGGCACAGATAACGGCTCAGAAGTGGTGACCACCATCTGATCTGCATCACCCTCGATGCTGGCAGCCGTAGCCCGTGTTTCTGGTGCCGGGAAAATGGTACGTGGAGGCGAGTGATGCGTGATGCGGGACGGGCATTCTATTAAACGCGTACTGTTGCGAAGGGCCGTATTCGCAGCAAAGTGACCATCCATGGCGGCGGACATGTCAAAGGTTTCGAGTCTCACGTAAAGGTTGGTTCTGTAGCATATCTCTCTTCACGCCACTTGGTCTAATATTGCGACATTCTTAAAATTGAAGTCGACCACACCGCGACCCAGTGCGACAAACGCTCTCGTCCCAACGCCGGGACATAATACCACACTTCCGTCCACCGCCGCCCACGACACAACGCGGCGAGAACGCTATCGTGTTCGCTTCACCATCGCTTCCCCTCAACAACACACCACGAGGCCGCGGGCCGGCGGTCCCGGCGCGTTGCGGTCCACCGCGCCAGGACCGCCGCGCCGGGAGGGCGTCAGTGGCGCCGTCACCTGGAGCAGCACCGTGGCCGGGCCGGAGCAGCGGTGGCCGGCCGGCTCGCAGCTGATCCGCTGCACCACCTGCGTCAGCTCGTTGGTGTACAGCTCCGGCAGCAGCTCCAGGTACTGGCAGTCCAGCGCAGAGTGCTCGGCGGTGACGCCCACGAACCACCTGCCGCGCACGGCACCGCGGTCAGCCACGGCCAACCAGATGCCGCACGCAATGTCCTGACGCACTATCCCAATCAGTAGCGTGATGGAAAAATCTCAACCAGGGCCAAGTGTGCCAGAAAATTGCAATACAGTTGTTGAAACGCACTAACGAGCGAGAGTCCCACCCCGACGAACCAACTGCGAGCCATCCGAGCAGAGCCGGGGCCGTTACCGGGCGTGCCGCGTCAGCTCGTCGAGGGCGGGCTGCAGACCAGCCAGCGCAGCCTCCGGGGCGCTGAACAGGCTGGCCGCCAGGCCGGGCACCGTCGGCAGGAACGGCTCCGGCTCCGGCGGCGGCGCGCGCGCGTCGTACGAGTGCAGCCTGCAACATGGGCCGAACGCGGATGCAGAGAGACACGCCACCGACCAGGGGCAGCTCTTCACATCGGTCACGGCGCAGCGGACACCCTGCTGCGCGCGCAGCACGCACGGCCAGCTCGGCCGGAGACCGCCGGGCGGACACAGCCGCCACCGGCGGCGACAGCGGCACAGCCGACCGCGCGACGGCGGGAGACCACGCGGTAAGTGAGAAGTCGGCGCTGAAGCTCATGTGTCGGATGATACCGAGCATTGGACGGCCGCGGTGGCATCACTCATTAACGGACCTCGTTCCTTGCCTCGACCTAGACCTCGTCTCGACCTCGACCTAGCTGACTGTCCGATAGCAGCATCTGCCGCGTGATGATCTTATCGCCGAAGGAACCTTAACGCAGTGGGTATGCAGCCGTACGCTCAAAGCTTGATCCTGATGGCCGTAGTGTCCCGCCTGGTGACCTGTCAGTAAGCGGCGTCCATCATCTGGCGTCACCGCGGGCCGCTGGGCGCCGTTAGCACACACTTGCGCTGCGCTGCGCAACGGACCAACCTGCGCTGGCCCGGTTGGTCCGTCGCTGCCCGCCCGCGGCGACGCCCACCACCTGGCGACCCTGTTGTCCGGCGCGTCCGCGTCCCGCCGTCACGCGCGCTCACCGCTTGACGATGCGGTTGGCCGGCGTGTCTTCGCTACGGACCGGCGTGCTGGCGGCCGAGCCGCGGCCGTGCCGGTGGTTGTGGTGGCTGGCCGCCCGCTGCTGCAGGGTCACCTCGCTCTGCCGAGCCACCGCTCGGTAGTTGATGAACTCCTCCCACACGTCGCCGTCCTGGACACACGCAGCCCGATGCGCACGGATGAGTCACCAGTCCCGTACGCACGCGGCGCAGCAGCTCGAGCAGGATTGGCCTTTTGATTTTGCTGCATTTTGAGAAGGTGCAAAAAAAACAGCATTTTATACTTCATTAAGCTTAAGAAATACACAAAAACTTGTAACGAGCATCACACAAAAAACGGAGTCAAATAAAGCTCGCAAGCAACGACAGCGTAATCCCGAGGCAGAGGCCCGCTGTCCTCCGTCTCCTCGACTACTGCCGGCATACCGGCACCTGCTGCAGCAGGTCCAGCAGCTTGGTCGGGTTGTAGACGGCCGGCAGGTCGGCCAGGTTCAGGTCCGGCCGGTGCAGGCGCGGCTCCTCCAGCCACAGCGCGAACGTGCCGAACATCCTGCAGCGGAGCGGGCGTCAGCGTGACGGCGACGCGGTGACGGCGTGACGCGGCGACACGTGAATAAGGCAGAGGGGGACGTCCGGTGGCGGAGTTCGCCTGAATAACACAGGTATTGTCCCAGCAGCCGCCTGAGCCGACATTCCTGAGCGCCGCCACAAACAGGCAAGCTTGCGCTCGTGATGAGTGAAGTCGATGCTCCGCACGGGGTTCTGCGCACACAGCGGTTGACTGTCAACCGCACAGTCCTCCCACACTCGTGGCAATAAGCGTCGCAGCGTTTGGCCAACAGGGGCATCGTTTCTGAATTGAAACTTCTGGAACGTGATGGCGCGTACGCCGATAAAAAGGCAGACAAGACTACCGGTGACGTCGGCACAGAGCCTGACCTCGCTGAGCGACGCGTCCCAACCAGGCCGGCTCCGGTGCCGTGGGCGCGTACACGGCCCCAGGGCCGGCCAGCGCCGCCGCCGCTAGCACTCACTGGGCGATGTGCCGGCGCTGGGCCACCTCTCCATCGATCACCTCGCCGCCGCGGGTCTCGGCCTCCTCGGCGCACCGCCGGTGGTGCTCGGCCGACTCCTGCAGCCGCCGCTTCAGCCGCTTCTGGTACTGCACGTTCACCATGCCCTCCAGAAAGCGGTCGCCCACGCTGCCCTGGTCGCGGCTGCGGCCGCAGGGGGGCGGTCAGCCGAGCCCCGAGGGCGCTCGAGAAACGCGGGGTGCCGGGGTGACGGCCCCGCCGTGTGGCCACATGCGGACGGGAGGTCAACGTCTGTGCATAACGCGCCGGGAGGCCAGGCTGTCGCGGTAAGTACCGGTTCAGGCCGACACAGCGGAATGGCAATGACAACGTACTGCACGCGCCGCACCGCGTAACGCCTCGCTTAACAACGTCAGAATTAGATAAGACAAACGTTTGCACGCTTGCGTCGCTGCACTAATGAAAAACGCAAAAATTTTAATCGTGCATCTTGTGCAGTTTAAATCACGGTTCCAGGGCCGCAATCGAGATGCAAAAAAGGACCGACCCGGGGCCGTCTGTGCTCCAGGGGGCGCCAGATATTTCTTTACTAGCTTTCCATGCATTGCACGCACCCGAGCACCACACGCTGACGCCGGCAAAACCCCACCGTTTCGAGCCCAGAGCATGTTCTGATACAACCGACAGCGTAATACCCAGCCCCTGCTAACCAATCTAACCATGCTAGGTGAGTTGTCGCTTGAATTGTTCCAAACCATCACAATTCTCAAAATGCTTCCGACGCGCCGTCTTGTTTTCTCTCCGCGCCACTCCCGAACCCTGAGTTCACACGGCCCCCCAGCCTGTGGGCGCCGCCCGCCGTCTGAGCAGACGTCCGTCCTTACCCGCCGATGTCGTATACGCGCGCCAGGTAGAGCGCGAAAAAGTGCTGCCAGAAAGCCGGCAGCAGCGGACAGTCCAGGTCCGTGTCGAGCGCCTGCTGCGCCCAGCGGTATAGCGCCAGACTCTGGGCCGGCGTCTGGGGCAGCCGCTGCTGGCTGCACACGCGCTGGGGAGCCGGATCGGGGAGGAGAGTTACCAGTGAGAGCACACCAGCAGCCAGAGGTACGGCGGCCAGGAGAGGAAAGCCGACCGGTCGACACAGAGAGAAGAAATGACAACACCGCGCGGTAGCGATTCGGCTGCAGGAACTGCCGCGACCTGGCCAAACGGGTGCCGCATGTGAGCTGGCACAGCACGCTATGCGGATAACGCAGGGCTCTGTAGCTTTCGATGCTACCACCTGTCATAGCCTTAGCTCCAATGCACACATAGTCCCTGCTTAAAAGACACGCTGTCTGCAACAATTTTGCAATCAGAGCAGCGCATGTGACAAAGTTGCAGCAGCTGGTAAGGTGAGATATCAAGCTTGCCGGTGTCCACAGAACAAGAAGCTCAAAATATTCAGGAGTAGGGTAACATTGGTTTGCCTGTGCGCCGGGCACAGCGAGCAGTGGCAACCGCAGTGCGTCCGCCACCAACGAGGCAAACGGCCGATCGCAGTGCCCCGAGTAGCGCGCGTGACTGGAGCGTAACTGGACCCAGTACCGGCCCTGTCACCCTCCCCTCCCGATGTCCTGCAGGAGCTGTGAGCGGAGAGGACGGCTCTGGACCCCACCTCGAGGTCTCGCTCTAACGACAGCTGACGGTCCCGTGAGAGGGGGGGGGCGGCTCTGGACCCCACCTCCAGCGCCTGCTCTAACGACAGCTGACGGTCCCGTAAGGGGGGGGGGACGGCTCTGGACCCCACCTCGAGCCCTCGCTCTAACGACAGCTGATGGTCCTGTGAGGGGTGGGGGGGGGGGGGGGGGGGGCGGGACAGCTCTGGATTCACCTCGAGTGCCCGCTCCAATCACATCTGACGACGGCTCTGGACCCCACCTCGAGGGCCCGCTCCAGTGCCAGCTGGCAGTCCTGCGGGGAGGATGCTGTAAGCGGGGAGGACGGCTCTGGGCCCCATCTTGAGGGCCCGCTCCAGTGCCAGCTGGCAGTCCTGCGGGGAGGATGCTGTAAGCGGGGAGGACGGCTCTGGGCCCCACCTTGAGGGCCCACTCCAGAGGCAGCTGGTGGTCCTGCGGGGGAGGATGCTGTAAGCGGGGAGGACGGTTCTGGCCCCCACCTTGAGGGCCCGCTCCAGTGCCAGCTGGCGGTCCTGTGGGGGATGCTGTAAGCGGGGAGGACGGCTCTGGGCCCCACCTTGAGGGCCTGCTCCAGCGGCAGCTGGCGGTCTTCGCAGAGCGTGGCGATCAGGTCGTGCCAGAGTCCGGACTCGGCCTCGAGCCGCGTCTCGGCACGCAAGCAGAACCAGGCGAGCCAGGGCGCCTGCGGCAGCGAGCTGGCCGGCAGCAGCGGCTGCAGTGTGCCGCCCGACACCCAGGCCAGCAGCGAGGAGAGGCCGGCCGACTGACGCACCTCGCCGCCCTCCTGCGGCGGCGAGGTGCGGGTCAACGTCCGGCGCACGGCCGCGGCGGTTCACGTGCAACGGGCGGTCACGGGCGTCGTCCGCGCACGGACCGCCGGCGGTTCACGTGCGACGGGCGGTCACGGGCGTCGTCCGCGCGCGGACCGCCGGCGGTCCGCCATGCCGTCACACGGGCGATGGTCAGCGGCACACGCCGTCACACGGGCGATGGTCAGCGGCACACGCCGTCACACGGGCGATGGTCAGCGGCACACACCGTCACACGGGCGGTGGTCAGCGGCACACACCGTCACACGGGCGGTGGTCAGCGGCACACACCGTCACACAGGCGATGATCAGCAGCACACACCGTCACACGGGCGATGATCAGCAGCACACACCGTCACACGCACAACTACCGATTGGTAGTGGCATCAGACACAAGGTGGCAGTGAATCAAACAGGGCAAGTTTTCAGCACGGGCTGCATGTTTACACATCGACTTCACCAGATTGCTTGCACCACTCTGAGCGGGCTGCATCGGCTCCGCTCCGAGCGAGGCCGCGATGTGACGCCACAGCCCGTCCCTCCCTGACAGCAGGTCTGGCCGCCGTGCCGAAATCCCTCCCCATCATACCCCACCCCCATCCGCCCGGACCGGCGGCGGCGTACACTGATCAGCTGGCGGATGATGAGCTCGGCCTGGTCGCGCGCCGGCCGGCATGAGAACGAGGCGCGCAGCAGCTGGTTGATCAAGTACAGGATGCCAGTGTGGCGGCTCCAGGCCGGCACCGAGGTCAGACTGCGCAGCCACAGCGTCACCAGCGGCACCGGCCACTGCAGGCCGTAACTGGGGAGACACAGACAGAGGTCAGGTCACGGGTCACCAGCGGTACAGGTCACTGCAGGCCGTAACTGGGGAGACACAGACAGAGGTCAGGTCACGGGTCACCAGCAGCACCGGCCACCGCCGGCTGTAACTGGGAGACACAGACAGAGGTCAGTTCACGGGGTCACCAGCAGTACAGGTCATTGCTGGCCGTAACTGGGGAGACACAGACAGAGGTCAGTTCGCGGGGTCACCAGCGGCACCGGCCACTGCGGGCCGTAACTGGGCAGACACAGACAGAGGTCAGGTCACGGATCACCAGCGGTACATGTCACTGCTGGCCGTAACTGGGGGGACACAGACAGAGGTCAGGTCACGGGGTCACCAGCAGTACAGGTCATTGCTGGCCGTAACTGGGGAGACACAGACGGAGGTCAGGTCACGGGGTCACCAGCGGTACAGGTCACTGCTGGCCGTAACTGGGGGACACAGACAGAGGTCAGGTCACGGGTCACCAGCGGTACAGGTCACTGCTGGCCGTAACTGGGGAGACACGGACAGAGGTCAGGTCACGGGGTCACCAGCGGTACAGGTCACTGCTGGCCGTAACTGGGTGACACAGACAGGGGTCAGGTCACGGCAGACGGCAGACGGCGGACGGACGGACGGACGGATGACCGTTCAGTCACTGGCCAGCTGATAGACCGCAGAAAAATGCACTGGCAAATGATTGCTAACTGTGTACCTTTCAAACTATGCCAGACCGATGTACGATTGGCACCTACGCCAATTACTAACTTAAAGCTGGCTTAGGGCAGAACTGACCTTGGAGTGAGATATCTTGCTCCAACAGACCGAATTATGTAACTTGATCAGTTCACGCGATAGCTCCACTTGCTTATTAGGTATGATATTGTATTGCACAGTTCAAGATAATTGTAATGACGTGCAAATTACGTCTTGAAAAAATACGGCCAGTTGCTTCTGCTTTGTACCATGTCACAAGGTGATGGGTTTAATATTGGCTAACATTTATCAGCGACTATCAGGTATAAGCATTGGTTTCCCGCTCCACTTTCTTGTAAGCGACACAACATCCGTGCGACATCCCGCAATCATCCGGTTGCTCGAAACGCCAAAGAATTCCGTTTCCCCCGCACGAAGACAGCTGGGAGCGTCAGGCGCCCTCCTTGGTCGGGGCGGCGCACGGCGCGCCAGGCCACGCCCACCCCCGCCGGGTGTCCGGCTGGGCCCGGGAGCGGTCCGCGTGGGACCCACCATCTGTGTCCAGTGACGTGTCGCTCGATAACGCCGGCCACCTGCAGCAGTAGCGGCCCCGGCTGGCCGGCCACCACGAGCGTCTTCATCATCTTCAGGTAGCTCTGGTCGGCCGTCACGATCGTCTGCAGCAGCAGCGGCAGCCTGCGCGGGGGGAGGGGGAGGCACGCCGTCAGGGCCAGAGGCGGCGGCGGCGCCACGACCGCCCGACACCGGACCGACAATGGCGCCGCCGGACCTTGAGCAAGACCAAGCCCTGCGCAGCGAGCTCCTGGCGTACGTGGAATACCTACCCGAAATGGAGCGACCGCGGTCTCCGCCACTGGTCCTAAACACGGGGGAGAAAACGCCGTCGCACCCGAACGTCAGCGCACGCTTGCACGCACGTCAAGTGAAGGCGTGGGCGACGACGTGCTGCGGCAGCCAGCCACATCCCACCTCACCGAAACAGAGAAGGCCCGTGTGGGCCCGTCCCGCGCCCCTGTCGCAACCGAACTCGCGAGACGCGCGCCCCCTCGGCACCGCGCCCAGCACTCACGCGTCGGCGTGTGCAAGCGCGTCCGCGTTGTCCACGAACAGCGGCACGACCAGCTCGAGCAGGTGCGCGACGGCGGCTGGCCGGCCGCTGGCGACCAGGCCGGTCAGCCGGCTCAGGCCGCGCTCCAGCAGCAGCGGCACGCTGTGGCCATCGGCCGTCATCAGCAGGGTGGCGTACGAGGCGAGCGGCTGGTCCTGGCGGCACGCCTCCTCCAGCGCCGCCACCTGGCGGCGGAGAGCCGGCCGGGTCAGGCCCCACAGCCGGCGACGTCACGCCGCAGGGGCTGGCGCACGCAGCCGGCGGTACGCAGCGGCCAGGGCCAGTCCGCGTGGCGGACGGCACACGCTGAGCTCAGCAAGGCGCCGGTCAGCTGCTGTTGTCAGCGCACACAAACTGCGCAACACGCTGAGAGCAGAACACCGGACGACAATGAACCATGGCGCCAGGGCTCCCGTACCTGCTCCCCGCCGGTCGGGCGGTGCCGGGACCGGCCCCCCACCGGCGCCGCTGCTCATGTCGCCCGCGCTCACCTCTGGCTGCTCGGGCGTCGGCACGCCGGCCAGCACGGCGGCCGGCTCGGCCAGCAGCTGGTCAGCCGCGCCGTCCGGCTGGTCCAGCACGTGCAGCCGCAGCAGCTCCACCTGTGTCCAGGCCCAGTCCTGGAAGCGTCGCTCGGCGCTGTCGGCCACGAGCGCCGCCAGCGCGCCCACCTGTGACGCGTGGAAGTCGGAGTCAGAAAGGCGGCGGTGCGGTGAGGCGCGCGCGTGTGAAAAACACGCGGCACAGAGCGAGCGGTTCGCACCATAAACATCGTGATGACAATATTACCGATGTCGTGTAACGCGCTCCGAGGTTCCCCAAAACATGTTGAGTTCCAGCACAAACACATCCAGACATATTTTAGGTCAATTACTGAAATACCATCGCACACAGTTACACAACGATTAGCGAAAAGCAGGTACACGTTTCGTTGCCGACCATGGGTTCAAGCCTTTCCAGTGTGTGACTGACCGCCCCGCCCGCCCTCCACTGACCTGGCGGCGTCCCTCGCCGAGCAGACCGGCAGCGCGGCCGGGCTCGGGCGCCCGCGCCGCCTGCGCCGCCACGGCGGCGAGCGCGGCGCGCCGGTGGAACTCGGCTGGCAGTGCCAGCTGCGGGCTGTAGGGCCGCACGCCCCAGTCGAGCCGCGCCAGCACCAGCTGCGCTAGCCGACTCTCGACCGAGTCCAGCGCGTGCTCGGCCAGCCAGGAGCACACTTGCGCCATGTCGCTGCCCGACGGCCGCCACAGCCGCAGCGGCAGGCCGGAGAACAGGTACAGCGCGATCTGCCACCCCGCCACCCGCCCCCGGTCACTCATCACGCGCCAACACGCTCAGCAGACGCTTTGGTGACGAAAGTGGCAGTGGGGTCGCGCGCGCGCGCGCGTGTGCGTATGCGTGTGCGTGTGCGTGTGCCACTCAGAGTTGAACCATGAGTTCACAGAGTAACTATGAGTTCCGGCGCGCGTCTCATCAACACAAACCTGAACGACCGCCGCCCCTAACGCTGGCGGATAAGGCAAGACATATCGCGTCGCGGCAGCTCCAGAGGGCAGCTGCAGCACACCGGGGCATCACATGCCATAGAACGGCACGAGCGGTGCTCGCGAACCCAAAAGGACCGTCTCAGTCCCAGCCGCGACCGCTGGCGGAAGGCGGCAAGCAATTTGTGGGACCGAGCGGCGCGATTACTATTGGAATACAGATCACATCCTTTACCTAACCGGAGCTGGATTAACCGGATTGGCACCACATCATCCCATCACGTCGCATATCAGCAAAATGGCATGGTCAGACGGCGCTCATCAATGCCTGCAATTTGCCAAACTAAGGAATCGCGTCACTGTAGAGTCCCGGGTATGTATTTACTTAAGGCGGGAGTGCGAGATCGTCCATACTGGAAACGGAGCGCTGTCCGAGCGCTGACGTGCTCACCTTGCCCATGGTCTGCATGTGCTCCTGCGTCAGCGACAGTGTGTAGGAGATGACGAAGGGGTGTCGGTTGCAGACGGCTGCCAGCAGATCTCGCCCCGAGCGGGAGCACAGCTCGCGGGTGGTCAGCGTCACGAACGACACCTGTGTCAGGGGGACACACCTGACGCCGGGCCGACACGTCCGACGCCAGGGCTGACGTGGGGAGCGACGCAACTGAAACCCGGCTGAAAACCAAGACCCCGACAATGGCTCCACGCATGATACTTGTCCCGGATATGACAAGCTTATACAACATCTAAAACGCGTCTTGATTTCAACAGACATGAAACAATCACATGCGTGGGTCTTACCACAAGCTAATCTAGATGGCACGTGTCTCCAGTTAGTGTGGGTTATCGGACACGTTTACAAGTGTCGCTACATAACGCTGGGCCGAGCTCTCAGCTTCCCAGTGGCATAGCAGCTGACATATGCTAGCATCCAAGGAGTTACCACATACCCAAAACATACTGTACATTCATTCTAGCTTCATTCCAGCGCAAAACAACATACATTCGCCATTTGCATCAGGCCCGACAAGTACAATTCGTTAGTACCAGCGAAACGAGCGGTCTACATCGCTGGCGAGCGGCAACCGGGATGGGAGGGGACGGGAAGGGGGGGGGGGCACTCACCTGCACCAGGTCGCGGGTGACAGCCTTGATGAAGGTGCGCTCGCGGTGCCCGCGCGCCATGGCCATGTTGGCCAGCGCCGTCAGCCGGAAGTAAACCTCCGACTGGCTCATGTGCACCAGCTGGTGCTCGAACATCGAGTGGAACGTCGGCGAGAACACCTCGGCCGCCCAGGCTGGTGATGGCGGGTTACGCTCAGTCCAGGGTTCACGGAAGGTCAGCCATGGGTCAAGCGTGGGGTCATGGGTAGGACAGGGGCAGCAGCGAGTCGGATACGAAGAGTCACGGGTCGGACACGGACAGTCATGGTTTGGACACGAACAGTCACGGGCTGGACATGGACAGTCATGGCTCGAACACGCACAGTCACGACACGGATACGGACAGTCATGGCTCGAACACGCACAGCCACGACCCGGACACGGGACAGTCATGGCCCGAACACGCTTAGTTACGACTAGGACACGGACGGTCATGGCTCGGACGGTCAATCGGAACCACACTGCGGTCGGCTAAGTAAAATACCGCGGTGTAAACGAACAGCTACGGTACGCCACCCGACTCCAAACCCCCCAGCGACACCCACGGTAACGCCAGAAGAAATGTACCACAGCCTCACAGAGCTCCACCAATGGGAGTTCTGACGAGATGAACCCTTTTCAATGAAATCGGCGGGCACACACAGCAGCCTGGCATCTCCGTGCATCTGCTGCACAGCATCGCCGATCCGGCACAGCGCGCGAACACCGAGTGGCCAGTTGATGGCGACAGGGGGAGGGAGGAGAGACGCCACTGACCGTCGTCCTGATCCTGGGGCACGGCTGGCAGCGAGTCCGTCTCCTGCGCTCGGCCGGACGTGTGGAACAGCCAGAGCAGCTTCCAGGCGGTGCGCGGTGTCAGCCGGCCGAACGGGAAGCTGGCCAGGAAGTGCCACACGGCCAGGCGGGGCGACGCGAGCAGACGCACCGCCGACCGGCACACGAAACTGTCGTACTCCACCTGTCGGCAAACCAAACTGTCGTACTGCACCTGTCGGTACACGAAACTATCGTGCTGCACCTGCCGGCACACGAAACTGTCATACTCCATTTGCCGGCAAACCAAGCTGTCGTACTGCACCTGTTGGCACACGAAACCGTCGTGGTGCACCTGTCGGCAAACCAAACTGTCGTACTGCACCTGTCGGCACACGAAACCGTCGTGCTGCACCTGTCGGCAAACTAAACTGTCGTACTGCACCTGTCGGCACACGAAACTTTCGTGCTGCACCTGTCGGCAAACCAAACTGTCGTGCTGCACCTGTCGGCGCAGAAACTGTCGCACCCCACAGATCGGCACACGAAGCTGTCGTACTGTACCTGTCGGTACACAAAACTGTCGTATTAGACCTGTCGGCAAATCAAACTGTCGTAATGCACCTGTCGGCACACGAAACTGTCGTATTCCAGCTGTCGACGGCACTGGTGCACTCCTCAAAGCGCGTCAAACATCGACTTGCTAACCAGGAAGTCATTCCAAATTTTTGTCTTCACGTGGTCAGGGGCAATGTAAACAATCAAACGTCATTACAGTATTCGATCATGCTGTTTGTTCAACCGCAGACGGCATGTCTCTCACCAGCAGGCGGCCCTTGGTGGCCATGTCGTCTGATGACGTCACGCTGTAGCTCTCCCAGTGATCGGTGACGTAATGCACCAGGTGCAGCACCTGATGGCACAGCCTGGACCGGCCCAGGAGCGGGGCGTCAGTCCAGGCCGCCAGAGAGGGTGTTTGGTGGGTATACAGCTACACTTAAGCCAAAGCCCGCCGCGAAGAGCAGCGCCGATCGAGACATCGATCTCGCCCGGGCCACATATTGTTTGCAAGCAATCTACCGGCCGTTTTCCCACGCAGCGGACAAATACATAAAGCTCTCTTGCACTGGACTACACAATACTTCAGGCGTAACATCGCGCTTCAAGCAATAAACATGGCGTCATGAAACAATGAAGGAAGCGTCGCCGACAGGACCGAGCCTGACCACGTCCTAGTTTGTTGTCATCCCTCCGCTGCAGTACTGTACCGCTTGTTGAGCTGCCGGTGTGTGGTGCCGCAATACTCGGCCAGCCCCGCGGCCAGGATGGCGATGATCTGCGACGCGCAGGCGAACAGGTGCAGCAGGTCGCGGCTGGTGGAGAAGGCCGGGTCGTACACGTCGGCACCGTCCGGGCCTCGGCCCATCCGCAGCATGTGGCGCATCAGATCCGCCCACGGCAGCTGCCGGCACAGGTCAGCACGGGTCAGCACGGCACGGGTCAAATGGGTCAGCATGGCAAATGTCACATGGATCGGCACAGCACAGGTCACATGGGTCAGCACGACACAGGTCACATGGGTCAGCACACCACGGGTTACATGGATCAGCACAGCATATGTCACAAAGGTCAGCATGGCACAGGCCACACAGATCGGCACAGCACATGTCATATGGGTCAGCACAGTCCACGTTACATGGGTCACCACAGAACAGGTCACACTGCTCACCACAGCACATGTCCTATGGGTCAGCACAGAGCAGGTCACACAGGTCAGCACAGCATAGGTCACATGGGTCAGCATGGCACAGGTCACACAGGTCTGCATGACACAGGTCACATGGGTCAGCAGGGCACAGGTCACATGGGTCAGCACGGACCAAGTCACATGGGTTGGCACGACACAGGTCACACGGGTAAGCTTCGCACAGGTCACACAGGTCTGCGCAGCACAGTTCACATGAGGCAGCACAGTACAGGTGACTGGTGATATGCTAGCACGGCCGAAATGACAAGCAGATCGCCAGCAAACATGATATGGTTGACATGGTAATGTTCCACGGCTGGTGGCAAACGTATGGTCAAATGAAGACACAGGACGAGCTTCACAAGGCGGTACGGCGACTGTCAATGCATCACAAGCAGTGCGTCCTCCATCCGCACCTACCTGGTTGAACAGGGCGACGAGGTCGGCCTCCTGCAGCTTGAGGTAGCCGGCCGTCTTCTCGGCCTCGTCCTCCTCGTCCTCCAGCATCACCCACTCGTCCTCCCCGCGCTCCAGCCGGCCGCTCAGCGCCAGGAACTGCGCTCGCTCCCTGCGCCAACGCCGGCACGGTCACGCGGCGGATCGACCGGCCGGCCTCTCATCGAGGACGCCAGCAGCGGTCAGACCGCCGGCTGACCAGGCGGCTCCCGTCGGAGTGGCTGCACAACGGACAGAGACAGCCTCGCCGGCACCTGCGGTGCCGAGAGACAACAGACGGGCCAGGTCCCCGCGGAACGCCCGTCCTGTGCACGCCAATCGAGGCATTCACTGGCGAGGCTAGGCTTACCTGACGGGTGACAGCATGACAGCCAGCGCCGTGATGGCGTGGTCGAGCCCGGCGGGCACGTCGGGCCGCGGCGGCTGCAGCAGCGGCGCCGCCCACTGCGCCCAGCCGCTCGGGCAGCGCAGCACCTGGTGCAGCACGAACAGGTGGTCGTTGACGGTGCCGAGGCGCAGCAGCAGCGCAGCCAGCCGCAGAAGCCAGCTGCGCGTCGTGCGCAGGAAGCCGGCCTCGGCGCCACCGCGCCGCTGGTGCGCGAACAGCACCGCGCAGCAGCCGCGCAGCGCGCCGGCGCAGCGCTCCAGCCGCGGCGAGTCGTACTGCAGGCGCGCAGCGGCCGGCGGCGGCGGCGCCACCTCCGGGAACTCGGCCGTCAGCCGATGCAGGTGCGTCTCCACCTGCAGGCGCGCCTGCAGCAGGCTAAACGCGTGCAGCGCGTGTGCGTCGTGCAGCAGGCAGCGCAGCGCTGCCAGCGCACGCCGCAGGTCCTCCAGCGCTGCCTTGTCCAGCACGGCGCGCCGGAACTCGTGCGAGGCGCTCAGACTGCGTCCGTCGTCACACTCGGCCTCACCGCGCACGCTGCTGCGCGCCAGGTCCCAGCAGCGCGAGCGGCCACCCTCGTACTGCTCGTGCAGCTGTTCGTGTTCGCGCGCGCTGGCACGCAGCGCGGCGCCGGCGCGCCGGTAGCCCTCCACCAGCGCGTCGAACTCGTCGGCGCGGTCGGGCCCGTACTCGCGGACGAACAGCTCGGCATACTGCTCACGGCTGGCCAGCTCCTCGTTGCGGTAGAACTCGGCGAGCTCCGCGTCCGTCAGCGGCGTCACCTCCTGGCCCAGGCACAGCATGGACGCCTTCTTCTCCGTCTCGAAGAAGAAGGGACCCTCCGAGATCGACACCTGGCTGGAGCTGAGCGAGAGCGGCGTGGCCGGCGACTCGGCCACCGGCGCCGACGGCTCGGCGCCGTCCGCCGCTAGCTCGGCGTCGAACTCGCAGGCTGCCAGGTCCGGGTACAGCACGTGGTGAGCGGTCATCTCCGGCATCGCCAGCGCCGTGAACGGCGAGCCTGCCACGCTCGCGTCGGTCGAGGCTTCGGAAGTGCGGTCGGCGGACACGGCGGCGTCCGCCGAACACTCAGACCGGTCGGCGCGCGCGGTGGGAACCGTCCAGTGGTCGGCAGCTTGTGCGGCAGCACCTGTGCCATGCTCTGCAGCACGGTCGGCACTCTCGGCAGCGTCCGTGGCACGCTCCGGTAAGTGGGTCCGCGCGGGCTGGCCGCCATGAGCGGCGGCGTCGGTCGTCGTCGTTGGCGGCGGCGGCGGCGGCGGCGGGCTCGTGGGCCGGTCGATGCGCGGACGCCGAGCTCGGTGCCGGGCAGGACTCCATCGCGACCTGCGCGGCGTCCAAGGCCACCTCCGGGGCGGCATGGCTGTGGGCCGGCGGGAGGCGCACAGCCGCCAGCGACGCCGTCACATCCGCCGCTGCCTCCAGGGACTCCGGCGGATGCCGAGCGCGAGGCTTCGCCTGCGGCATGTGCATGGATGTCAGTCATGTGTTATTCTATAGATGTCTAGGTGGGAGATTACTTGCAAAAAGGCCAGCAAATAAATGGCAGACATGCCATATGTTACAGCATGCAACCATGCAATGTGGTTAGAAACCCACATTACCATTCACAATCATTACACAAAGTTTTGAAGCTTCACTCCCCAAGCTTGCAGTTCAGAGTGAATGAACTTTTAAACCAACATCTTTTGATAATTACTTGAGATGACTCATAAGCAATTGACAACATACAATGGATGCTTACCTTGGACTTTCCTTTAGGCTTCTTGACAGCTTCCATCTGAAACCTTTTTAGATGCCCTTCTTGTCATGTACCAAAAGGTCTGAAATGTAGGGACAATGTATAAACCACAAATGTTGAGATCAGTCAAAAAGTTTGAATATCATGTTTTGTTAAGTTAGATGGCATTGGCCTGCATGAGTACACCTATCATGAAAGACTGATACCTGTCCTACCTGGCTTGCTGATATAGGTCAGTGCATTGATAAAGAATAAGCATGGCTATATAACATGAGAGGCAGAGGGCAAACTCCAATCCCAAATAGAATAATTTAAGCCCCTTATAACTGTGGGCATTGAAGTGATGTGAGACCTTACAAACATAGGAATTCATTCTCCCTATGAATGTTGGCCAGTAAGCTTAAGGTCACATACTTAACAAATATCTTGAGTTTTGAAGGTCAAACAGTCTTCATGAAGGTAAAGTTAAATAAAATTTCCTTTTCCACTACCTGGATCTAAATCACCAGCATACTTATCAGAGAAGGTGAAACCATTTTTGGGGTGGGTCCTCCCTTAGGACAGGCAACTCATCACTGGCATATATATGTTATGTCTTATATATCATCCAACTCAGTTTAAAACCATTCATAACCATATCAGAGCACTGGCTGGTCATAAAAGAATGACACAAGTAGTGAAACAAAACAAGATGAGAGGTCCAGTGAACACATCATTAACCAAATTTCTCCCATTTCAATTCATCAGCATGCAAAAGTTAACCTCCAATCATTATTTTGGTACAAATTCATCACAATCCACCATCAACCAACAATAACTTGATAGCTAGTATCATGGCAAAATCAATGGCGCACATCACTATTGACCTAACTGACCTTTCCCCAGCTTGCTGCTAAGGTCCAAGAAATGGGAGACTCTTAATGACAGTTTGGATTTTGGCAGAGCAGCCATTTGTTTGTTGCTCAGGGCAAATATCAATAGTACTTCACAACTCCCATCTATCTACCTGATACACTCCTCTTCTGCCTTAATGTTGTGCTGGCTTCACCCAGTCACACACATAAGGCCTTGCCTGCCACTCACTTGGCTTTACTTTTAGTTACCTCAGTAGGCACAACCCTTAATGACCTGCCACCTTTCCTCTCGAAAGAACTGCACACACACCTTTACACATATATATGTACACCTTCTTGTACTTTTTCCACTTGTCAATCAAGCCCCAAGCTTCTCTAACGTAAGGCTGCACCGATTGCACCCCAGGTCGAAGACATATCGTGTTAATGGCCCCAATTTCTCCAGTGATCTTTCGATAACGTGAAACTGGGACAGGGTATACTGAAACTGGCATGACTCAAAACTGCATTATGCAATATGCATTGCTGCGTACCTCGTTTCAATCCTGGCAATTCAACTTCAATGAAAAGGCTTTGACACATCACCCCCAGAGATGCGCACCTGGCAGCGAAACCACATAGCATACCTAGCATGCCTTCACTTGTTTACACGATGGAACAAAGATGCTACAGCAGATCACCAAGGACGTCAAAGTCGTACGTAGTCAGAACGCACGCCGTAGGACGAATACAAGGTGGGTACGCATCATCAGGGCAGGTATATACTCCTACGGGCTAAAACATTATTGTATGTTACGCTAAGAAATAAAGTCAAAGTGCAGTAGCATCTATCTGATGCTAAGGAAGCTAAGTCAACTTTTTCAGCACAGCTGTCTGCCAGCGGCAGTATATTAGTAGCTTCTTTCTTTAGGGAACCTGCTGCTCAACGTGCCGCGGAATGTCTCGTTGCTGTAAACAATTCGCTGGCCTCTTCTGCAATAATCGGTGTTTGTTCAGCCAAAGGCTCGGCCTTTTTATTGTTGGGAGGAGTAGCGGAAAAATAATAGTGAACTGGGTAAGCTCATATCATTTGAACCCCACGCTGCCATTGATTATTTATTTTATAGATACATTTGTGCCCGTGGCGATGATGGCAATTGGGACACAAATCCTCGTTCCTTTTATAAATGAATGTATAGGATATCAAGCCTGGGCACGGTCTTGAAATTTTTGGCTATCAATTTTTCTTCCACTCCATGCATTCTGAATGAATAGTTATGCAGAGGTTTGTCTTTAAACCATAGTGGAAGAGCTGGTAAGGTGGTACAGGAGGTCTCAGTGTGTGAGACCCAGTCTGAAAAGTGAATGTTTATGTACATTGGTAGTCAGACTGGTCATAGTTTGGTGTATGGTCAGCACCAATTTTAGCAATTAGAGCCAGCAGAATATACTCTTGGGAGCCTCAGTATGTGACACCCAGACTGAAAAATACATGCTGCACTGAACATGTCACATGCAGCAGCTGCAACATCATTACAAAAATTTCAGTGTATGCTTAGTGTAAACTGGAACAGTCACAATCACATGATCACTCACAGCTGGACCACAAATCACATGCTATGTGAAACATGTGAGGTGCAGTAGTAAAATTATGAAACAGTGCCACAAATTCAAGTGTAAGTGTGCCATGAATGTTGAGTGCTCTATGTTTGATGGCTAGCCACCACTAAATTCAATGGCTCAAGGGCCAGTGTATAGAATATGTAGAAGAGTGGTGTAATGGGAATTCTGGTAAAAATGACCCAGTGTGTCCTAAAAGATCATGTTCAAGCAAAAACCAGACTTCAGTACAAGGGCCCATGACCTGCTTTCAGCCACTACACACACCAGTTTCAGTGCACTGATCTCACTTGCAGCACTCTAGTGCTGCATGTAAGTTTCTGTGGAGAGATGCTTCAACAAAACCCCATCAAGACCTGTTGTGTTTTTGCTGACTGGTACCAATGTCACTATGATGACTTTCCTGCTATCATGTATTACATGCGGGACTTATTATGTGAAGGGTGCTCTGGGCATTCTGTTGTGGAGGGATGGACTACCATTATCTTTACCTTTCAGGTGATGCTGTTCAAACACCATATTGTTGTGTGACTGTACTTCAGGGAAGGGCCACATGTGATCTGTGTTGACTGATATATAAAATGATGCTTATTGAAACAGAACATCAATATTAGTTATTTCACATTGTTACAGGCAGTCTTAACACTATCACAAAAAATACAGGTACCTATATGCAAGCAGGGAATTCTTGCCTATTGCATAACATGCTCAACTTTGTGGCATATTAAAACTATCCAAGATTAGCCCATAGTTTCATCACTGGGGTACAAATACCCTCCCTGTCAGAAAAAAACAGCCCAAAGCCAAGATATAATGGCAGAGTTCCCTTGTTAGGGTAAGGCGTAAGGTCTTCCACTACATCACATTCCACTGGTTTAGTCTGCCAGTTAGGCTAGTTTTCTCAATTTTTTTTCACAATGAGTCATTTTTTAGGGAACAGTATTGTTTCCTCCTGTTTTTGAACACCTTCTGTGCCCATTTGGACAAGCTGACAACTAATCTCAAGAGTTTGATATGAGAAAGAATGGCCTTCAGCTCCCAGGGTGTCGGCTCTTCCGTGGCAGCGGCGCTGCGTGCGGCCCTGGCAGCCGTGCCGTCCCCGCCTCAGCCGGCGGCTGTCCGGTGCCAGTCGAGCCAGTGCGCCAGCGCGCCCGTTCGGCCGTGGTGTGGCGCGGCCCCGGCCTCTCTGGAACGGTCCGCACGTAAGCCCGTGGCCGGCTCAGGCGGCCGTTCGTGCGTCCCGGCCGGCGCGGCCTCCGCTCGGGACCCGCGGCCAGCCATATCGGGGGGACAGGCGTCGTGTGGTGACCCGTCCCACCTGAGGCTCACTAGCCACTCCCTCGCCGTCTCGTCTGAGGCTCATCAGCCCCTTCCCCCTCCCTCGCCGTCTCGTCTGAGGCCGATCAGCCCCTCCCCCTCCCTCACCGTCTCCCCTGAAGCTCGTCAGTCCCCTCCCTCGCCGTCTCGTCTGGGGTTCACCAGTCTCCTCCCTCGCCTCCTCGTGAGAGGCTCACCAGCCCCCTCCCTTGCCGCCTCCCCTGAGGCTCGCGAGCCCCTCCCTCTCCGTCTCGCCCGAGGCTCACCAGCCCCCTCCCTCGACGTCTCGTCTGAGGCTCGCGAGCCCCTCCCTCTCCGTCTCGCCCGAGGCTCACCGGCCCCCTCCCTCTCTGTCTCGCCCGAGGCTCACCAGCCCCCTCCCCTCTCATGTCTCACCCGAGGCTCACAATCCCCCCCCTCCATCTCCGTCTCGTCCTGAGGCTCTTCAGTTCCATCCCTCTCTGTCTCACCCAGGCCCTCACCAGCCCCCCTCTCCTCGAAGTCCTCGTCTGAGGCTCGTCAGTCCCCTCCCTCTCTATCTCGCACCAGAGGCTCACCGGCACCAGCACCCCTCCTCGACGTCTCGTCTGAGGCTCGTCAGTCCCCTCCCTCTCTATCTCGCCCGAGGCTCACCGGCCCCCTCCCTCTCTGTCTCACCCGAGGCTCACCAGCCCCCTCCCTCTCTATCTCGCCCGAGGCTCACCAGCCCCCTCCCTCTCCGTCTCGTCTGAGGCTCGTCAGTCCCCTCCCTCTCTATCTCGCCCGAGGCTCACCGGCCCCCCCTCCCTCTCCGTCTCGTCTGAGGCTCGTCAGTCCCCTCCCTCTCTATCTCGCCCGAGGCTCACCGGCCCCCTCCCTCGACGTCTCGTCTGAGGCTCGTCAGTCCCCTCCCTCTCTATCTCGCCCGAGGCTCACCGGCCCCCTCCCTCGACGTCTCGTCTGAGGCTCGTCAGTCCCCTCCCTCTCTATCTCGCCCGAGGCTCACCGGCCTCCTCCCTCGACGTCTCGTCTGAAGCTCGTCAGCCCCCTCCCTCGCCGTCTCACGGTTTGCGGTGCTAATCCACTGCGCCGTTCACCGCCGTTTTGTTTCCAGTGGACCGTGTGACCCGCTGCGTTCAGTTCCCGGCGACCTCTGACGAGACCCGTGCTGCGGGCGGCGACTGAGCGCTGTGTGTGGCCCTCAGGCGGGCGCTGTTGGGCAGCGGCGCGGCGCGGAGTCCCCGGGGCGCGGGCGCGGTCTGGCCACCATGAGCGGCGTCGCCACGTTCGAGGGACAGCCAGACCGCTACCGGGGCGTCGTCGTGGACGTCCTCAAGGAGACGGTGCTCCAGACCACGCACGACTTCGAGGAGCTGCTCAGAGGTGCGCGGTGGCTGTCCGGGTGGTGCCGTTCCCGGTCCGCGGTCTGTGGTCTGGCTCGCTCGGTCCCTGGCCTGCGGCCATGGTCAGTCAGTCCTTAAGCCGGTCCCTGATCACGCTGTGTGTGTTTCAGCCCCTGATTATCTTGCCGCTGGCCGGTGATTCGGTTTACTTGTCTGGGTTTCGGTGCTGGGCACGTATGGTCTGGGCGCGTGCCTCGCAGTGTGCACCCGAAATGGCCGCCTAATTTGATACTGTAGACGGATGAAGCGTGACAAAAGACGTCCCGCGTGTTTGAAAAGATTGTTTTGTCACAGTTAGTCTATCCAGTTGCGGTCCCACCCAGCAGTTAAAGCAACCCGGGTGGCGTGGATGCTGATTGACGCCGATAACATTTCTTTTTCCATATGAGTTGGGATTGCGTCAAGCGGAGTTGGCTCGTATGAAGCTGGAGTATTGTTTGTAATGAAATGCTAAGTTGTTTTTTTCCGAGAGGTACAGTTCCAAGTTGTGAGTCCGTTTGGCTCAAGAAAATGCATTGCGCAATGCCTGAATTAAGGAGTTATTTGCATTGTTTTTCGTTGCATGGCCGTGAAGCATGTAGCTCAACTCGTTCTCATTCGGGGCAAGTCGTTGAACGGTTGCTGTATCTGTTTTTCGTTGTTCTCTGACTGCTTTTGAGCGCGTTTTTCTCTGTGTGAGTTGATGTCACGTTCAATCGTGTTTTTTTTTTTATTTGCAGCTTCCTTGGACAAATGGAGCGCCGATGGTGTTCGTGGTGTATGGTTTCGTGTCGACATCGGACATTCGGAGTTCGTGCCGATCCTAGTAAAGGTACGCTTTGTCCATGACGCCCCAGGCGTACTCAGTGGTGAACACTTCCCTTTGTTTTGTTTTTGTGTTGCATCTAAGACTAGAGACTTTATAGAGACTAAGACTTTTGCATCTAAGTGTTTTGAAGAAGAAATGAGTGTGCTCCGTCATTGTTTTCAGCCATTGCAATAAGGTGTAAATTTGTTACTAGTTCAATTTGCTCCTTGTTGGCATATTATATATATATATATATATATATATATATATATTGGAATATTTTGGCAGAATTCTTTCTTTGATACATATTTGATTAAAAATAACTGCTGACTCAGCATTGACGAGCTTTCTCATGCATCGTTCTAGTTTCCGGGCCTTTGACTTTGCGTCATCGCTTAGATTAAAGATGGTTCGCACAATATTACTCATATATTCATCACTCCCTCCATTCTAACGTTTCGAGGTCTTATCTCACCTTCGGAGAAGACTAAATTGCACAAGAAATAAGTTTTGAGTTTTAAAGGATTAAAAATTGTGCACTACTGTTGTAAAACATCTTTTGGTACGGAGAACATACATGAAGCATAACTTATTGAAGTAAGATGGATTGCTATTTTCATTTTCATACATGTAAGAAACACTCATAATGGGAACATCACAAATACGCAATGGGAACATTATTGTAAGAATCACATCAGAAGTGCTCGCCGCCCACCACGTAGTAGTTCAAGGGTTCTGCAAGAATTTGTCTGTCTGTTTAAGGCCCGAGAGAGTTCGTTAATGAATATGCTTTCCCAAATTTGAAGGCGTCTTCTGTCGCTGCACGTCCGTAAAATGTCAGTACTGTCTGTCAGTTGTTGTATCAATGTCATGCCGTGTTCCTGTCGCATGTGTTCCAGAGGTGCTCCGTCACGTAAGTGCATTGTCAGGCGTCGTGAGAGTGTTGTTGTGGTTACACCAATGTAGTGTATGGGACGAAGTGTGCAGCCTTCGATGTTGCATTGGAATTGATACACTACATTGGTGCATTTTGGTTTGTCGGGTTTGTCTGGGCTGTTTCTCATGAGAAAGTTCGATGTTTTCTTATTACAATAGTAAATGACAATGTCTATTTTGTGGTCGTTTTAACATGTTAAAGGCAAAAACGACCACAAAATAGACATTGTCATTTACTATTGTGATAAGAAAATATCGAACTTTCTTATGAGAGACAGCCCAGACAAACCCGACAAACTAAAATGCACCAATGTAGTGCATCAATTCCAATGCAACATCGAAGGCTGCAAACTTCGTCCCATACACTACCTTGGTGTAACCACAACGACACTCTCACGACGCCTGACAATGCACTTACGTGACGGGGCACCCCTGGACCACATGCGACAGGAACACGACGTGACATTGACACAACAACAACTGACAGACAGCACTGACATTTTACGGACGTGCAGTGACAGGAGACGCCTTCAAATTTGCGGAAGCATATTCATTAACGAACTCTCTCCGGCCTTAAACAGACAGACAAATTCTTGCAGAACTCTTGAACTACTAGGTGGTGGGCGGCGAGCACTTATGATGTGATTCTTACAATAATGTTCCCATTGCGTATTTGTGATGTTCCCATTATGAGTGTTTCTTACATGTATGAAAATTGTCTATAATAGCAATCCGTGTTACTTCAATTAGTTACGCTTCATTTATGTTCTCCGTACCAAAAGATGTTTTACAACAGTAGTGCACAATTTTTAATCCTTTAAAACTCAAAACTTATTTTTTTGTGCAATTTAGTCTTCTCCGAAGATGAGATAAGATCTCGAAACGTTAGAATGGAAGGAGTGATGAATATATGAGTAATTTTGTGCGAACCATCTTTAATCTAAGCGATGACGCAAAGTCAAAGGCCCGGAAACTAGAACGATGCATCAAAAAGCTCGTCAATGCTGAGTCAGCAGTTATTTTTAATCAAACATATATATATATATATACAAAAGCATGTCTGAAGATAAGGTAATAACCGCGTATTGACCACTCAGTATGCATATGCTCCTTACGCAGCATATGCGTCATGAGCGGTTAAAGGTATGCCTAGACACAAGCCATGACATCCAGGCCCGACAGCTTGTCCTCCATTCTGATCATAAACGTGTATGCCACTATGTTTGCCATTGCGGTCACCCAGACAGCACAAGTTTCTTTACCGAAACATCAGGTCGACCTCCCTGCGTTCCTAGCCGTCACGGGTGTGCGTGCCACCGCGCCTACCTCCCTGTGTGCGCCGCCAGCACCAGTCTGTGTACCACTGCGCTAACCTCCCTGTGTACCCCAGCACCAGTCTGTGTACCACTGCACGGACCTCCCTGTGTACCCCAGCACCAGTAAGTGCACCACTGCACTAACCTCCTAGTGTACCCCCAGCACCAGTCTGCGTACCACTGCACTGGCCTCCCTGTGTACCCCCAGCACCAGTCTGTGTACCACTGCGCCGACCTCCCTGTGTACCCCAGCACCAGTCTGTGTACCATGACTGTGCTGACCTCCTGGTGTACCCCCAGCACCAGTCTGTGCACCACTGCACTAACCTCCCAGTGTACCCCCAGCACCAGTCTGTGTACCACTGCGCTGACCTCCCTGTGTACCCCAGCACCAGTCTGTGTACCACTGCCCTGACCTCCCTGTATGGCCGGCAGCATCAGTTTGTGTACCACCACGCGAGGCGCGAGTTCGTGATGCTGGTGCGGTGGCTGCCGCGCGAGGAGTCGGACCAGATCCCGCCGTACGCGCACACGATGATCGGCGTCGGCGGCATGGTCATCTCGGAGGCCGACGACCAGGTGCTGGTCGTGCGTGAGAAGTACTACACACAGCCGCACTGGAAGCTGCCCGGCGGCTTCGTCGAGCCGGGTGAGTCCAGGCCAGGCGGCTGACCGGCTGGGCGTTTGTGCGCCGGTGTGATTTGTTGCTTGTGACTTGTTTGTCCTCGTGACGTGCTGTGGCCATTCTCGGGTGTGTTCGTTGTGGATCACGCGATCACCTGGATGGCGTGCGCGACGTTCGTTAGGAATAGTTGGTGCTGCGAGCGGCAACTGACGATTGTTGGGCTACAGTCGGGTTTCAAAGTCCCGTTGAGCCCGAGACATCTTGGTGTGGTGGTGGCATTGGCGGGGTATCCTGAACTCCTTCTAATAGAGCCTCCTTCTAATAGACCCCGAAGGTGGAACTTCAGACCGTGCGATGCTGGTGTGCTGGTACATGCGTGCTGTAATGTAGCAGTAGTGACCAGTTAGTAAGAATGTTTGACTGGACTGCTAGGTCTGGCTTTCGTTCCACCCGCATGTAAGCTCCACCGACCCACGTCGCCGCTGACTGCCTGGCGCCGGCCGCAGGGGAGGATCTGGCGGCGGCGGCGGTGCGCGAGGTGCTGGAGGAGACGGGCGTTCGCGCCGAGTTTGACTCGCTGCTGGCGTTCCGGCACGTGCACGGCGCCGCGCACGGCTGCTCCGACCTCTACTTCATCTGCCTGATGCGGCCCGTCTCGCGCGACATCAGCATGTGCACTCGGGAGCTGGCCGCCTGCCGCTGGATGCCGGTACTGGGAGGGACGGGGGAGGGGGGGGGGGGGGGGGGCCATCTCCTCTCGGACGTGACCGGTCGGGACGGAAGGGTCAGCCCCGGGACGGAGGTTGTGGCGTTCGCCAGATCCGGTCAGGCGGGTCAGGCTGGGGCAAAGCCATCGTGGACAGCGAGTGATCCTACTCTCCTTGCCTTAGTGCAGATACGCGTCGAGGAAGGAACACGTGTGATACGCATATACCCAGCTGCCTTCTAAACGGGCCAAGCGGGAGTAAGTCGGTGGCGTAACGCGTTTAGCTAGTTATTGTCTGTATGTCGCCTTTTTGTCAGCTATTCGCACGATTTCGTCAGTGCACAGTTCCTCAGGTATGCTGTTTATCGTTCGCAAGTGCACAACAACAGACGTCCTGCGCAGTCAGTTAATGGCGTTACAGAGATCCAGTGACAACGACAGGCCATAAGTCAAGCTTTCTGTTAGTCGCCCCTGAGCGATATCAAAGTTTAAAGAGGCATCACGCCACTTGATATCTGAGCATCGCAGGGCGAACAACGAAGATGAAACGGCTGCGTAGAAGCCAGTTATCGTGCGGAGGGCTGAGATTGGATAACAGCATGTTTATGGGCTCGACCATGGTTAAAATCTGCCATCTCACTGTTTGTATATCGCGACGACTGGTGGGGCAACGCTGTGATATCCCGTCAGTGATCCTGCGATTTTGCCTGACGCATTTGTCGCGCGCCTCAGAGCGTGGGCCTTCTCAGCTCGGCCGCAGCGGCGGCGCCTACGGGGCGCCCGCTCGTGCCGTGTGCCGCCGTGTAACGGGCGCCGCCGCTCCGTGCCGCCAGATCGCCGAGTACGCCAGCCACGCGGACGTGCACGCGCTCAACAAGCACTTCATCACCAAGTACCTCGAGTTCCGCGAACACCGGGCCGCCATGCGGCTGGAGCCAATGCACATCCCTGGCTTCGGGCGCGTGCAGAACGTGTTCTCGCTGACGGTGGGCGGCGGCGGCACGTGACCAACGCGCCGCGTTAGCCGGCGGGCCGGGGCCCGGGGCGGGGTCGCGCCTTCTCAGGTAGCCTGTGCGCCCGCCCCGCCGCGGGCGGCGGGGCGGCGGCAGCCGCAGGGCGCCGCGCGGTAGCTAGCAACTCAGGTGTAATCGCGGCCTTTTCCGCGCTGTCAAGTCCGGGTGCCTTCCTTCCAGCGAGTGCGCTCCGGCGATTCGCGTGCAGTGCTTATGGTCCGTGCTAGTTTGACGCAGCACATCGACTTTTGGTAGTGAGGGTGTTTGCATGCGTGCTAGTGTTCTGTTTGCGGTAACACAGGTCGATATCATGTGGGAGATTTATGTATTGTTTACACCGTTATTCATGCCTTATTGTGAGGCTGATTATGTGTGCCCACCACGATTGGTGCATAGCTCATCATATTTTACCGATAGTACACTACTCACGAGCAAGATCCAAATGTATTGCATTACAAACTGCCTTGTATACCGGCAACAAAGTTTTATTTGAACTGAACTGTGTTTGGCTGCTGGAGTCTCTGCTCCGGGACTTCGTGAATGGCTCGGCGTCATGTATGACAGATGGTGTTCTGGCATACAGCTGGTTGGGTCTGCCGGGTTGGGGGAGCTCTATCATCCGCTTGCTTCGGGCCAGTTATCTTCAACGCTTTGAAGCCTTTGCCACGGAGGCACATCGTCCGGTTCTTCCGAATGACATGCACTATCAGCAAGAGACAGCCCCGTCGCTCCGTCGGTGACTGGAGAGGCGTACGATAAAATGAGTGATTATCTTCCCGAACACCGCTAAGCATGCATTGCATCATTCAAGTCGGGCCGGGGGCGACAATCTGCCAGCACTCGTGAAGAAATCGAACGGAACCGCATTGACTAGACACACACCAAACTAGGGCCGCGTACTTGTCCGCATTACGAAATGGACGCCATAGCTGGCAGCCTCTTACAAACAAGTGATTAAGTCAAATGTGTCCCAGCTTTGGGAAACGAACTGCACCACCCCAAGACAAATTGGTCTTTGCGTGGCAATGAGTGACGAATTTCTTGACGCTTTTGCCCATTTCCAAACTTGAGTCCTCTGAGTCTATGCTTGGCCACACGACAAGAACCCGATCTGGTACTTAATGGCCGCAACCATTGAGGCTATTTCCAGCACATGTCGCGCGCGTCGAACACGATCTAACTATTCCCCCCATCGCCGAATGGTGCGTCTATCGACGCTGCGCCTTCAGTCACGTGATGCCGCCCGCTACCGATTTGAGAACCACGCAGGCTAAACACGCGTCCGTCAGCCCGCGCGACCGCGCCGGCCCCTCTCGTGCCGCTGACATCTGCCTCGCGCCAGCTGCCGTGACCCGGCCGTGCCGCCCAGGGCCGGGTCATGCCACACGGTCGGCCGCTGCCGCCACCCCTCCCCGCCGTCAAACACGGCTATCGTCACGGAACGAACGGACGACCGATTAGATAGCGCCTGGCGGCGGGCGGCGGGCGCTCCCCGGCCTGCCTCGCCGTCCGTCCGGCGCCGCCGTAAGCCCGCGCGCGACGCCGACGCCGCCGGTGACCTCACCCCTCCTCGAGTCGGCGGGCTGAGGGCGGCGGGAAAAATACTGTACATCTAGGGGCTTCGGGGTGGCTCAGTGCTGTTGGTTGTTTGGATAACGGCCCTTCCGACCAGAACTGATCATTTCAGGGATGAGGGAAAGTGGGTAACGGTGGAACACGCGTACATGCACTTGGAGGGCCAACCACCGGGATTTACCCCGCGCATGTGCACTGAAGACCCGGCCGGGTTCCCATTCCCACCGGCTGACACATGCCACTCGTGGCTGACACATGCAGCCTGCCCCGGACAAGCGGGGTGTCGCGAGGATGCAGAATGAAGCAAGATAGGGGATAAGAGTGACGGGACACTTATGCGGATGCACACCAGACCTAATGGCCCGGCCCTAAAGGGCTAACCGCAATATTCACTCGTAAGACCACTCAGAGTGTCCGTGATCTCCTGCCCGCTATCAAAGGCAGGCGACCCGAGCGATCAAGACCGCTGTTTTGTTTGTCAGCTCAGCAGGTGTCCGGGAGACCTTCGGTTGGCATGGCGACGGGTCGTGTGACGCCCGGTGGCCGTGGGTACCTACCTGGAGACAGATACACTGGGAGTACTGAGGCAGACGGCGCTGCACATTGACGCCGGATATTTTGAAGGTGCCTAGGTACATAAATAATATTAGATGATAATAGTGCTATAATGCTAGATAATACGGCATAGATAATACTAGTCGTGACGCTGCAGTTTTTAGGCATCGACAGAGAGAACGCTCTGGGTCTCTGAACATGTCTGCTGAACGAACGGGTATTATTGCAACACAGAGATAACTTCTGGTGTAAACATGCGGCATGTATCAGTAGATCTTCGCGGTGCCGCAAGTTTTCACATGCTTATCCCGCGACTGCCAGGGGTCAGGGTTAAAAGAATCCCCTCCGCGTTTCAGACATTAATTCAAAACCGCACCAGGTAAGTCCGCCAAGCTTTCCGCACCAGACGGATGGTGATTATGGCACACCCCGGGGGAACACAGACTTTACACTACATCAGGTTACTGGGCTGTGACGACATTATCTAAGGCTTACCCAGCAGTGTTTGCCCCCACCAGAGAACCTATTTAACGGCTCACTTTGTTGGCCACAGTGGCATTTATCCACTGGTTTGGCTGTCTGCCACTGAAGGTCAGTCAGACCGTCGGAGGTCATATCATGTCACCATCGTGGATCATGTGAAGTCATTTAAGGACCGTTCAATAACACAGTTTCTTTCAGCCATTTGTGAGGGGCGACTCGATGCAACTCACACACTTGTAGCCTAGTAACTTATGTACGGGATCTGAGTAGGAAAAAATCGCAGAAAATCGCGCTACCTGAGTTAACTCGCATCTGACCTTAGCATTTCACCTTTGTTATGAGAGAGAGAGAGAGAGGAGAGAGGAGAGAGGAGAGAGAGAGAGAGAGAGAGAGGAGAGAGAGAGAGAGAGAGAGAGAGAGAGAGAGAGAGAGAGGAGAAGAGAGAGAGAGAGAGTTTGGAGCTCACTTTCAGAGCGAGAGAGAAAAGAGTGAGACATTAGCAGCAGATAGGCCCGCCTAAGTGCATTTCCTCGTAATCAGAATCTCCGGCCCGCGAGAGAGACGAGAGGGCAGCCGAGAAATCGACTGATCTGACGAGTATAATATATAACTATTTATATACATATATAATTATAATAAACACACACGACCATATATTATATATCTATATATATATATATATAATATTATATATATATGTCGATGTACGGATCTAGTATCGCATCGCGTACTATTACTCGCACAGATATCACAGAGAGAGGAGAGAGGAGAAGGAGAGAGGAGATAAGAGATAGAGAGAGAGATAGAGAGGAGATGATAGAAGAAATATTATAACATACACACACTATATATATATATATATATAATTATTATTATTAATTAATATAAACGATATATATATATATATATATCTTCTATTTTAATTATATCCTGTATAGTATATATATATATATATATATATATATATATATATATATATGTGTATCGATGTACGTGTTTACGTGTCGGGAGGACCGTTTTTACCCCGTTGGCCTTTCATTGGTGGCTCAAAAATGTAACTGACGACAAAGCTGAAGAGCAGCCGTTCGGAACTGTGGCCACGTCCCGGTAACCGGGGGTGGGAGTGACAAGAAATTGACACGCTTCGGTAGAAAATTAAACAGAAAATCGCTGTGGGCCAGATGTGCAATTTCACGAGCCACGTGCTGCGTAGTACAGAAACGGCCAAGATGAATTTGCCCGCTTTTGACGGTTTTTCGCGTTTTGCACTGTATCTCAGCCATCAGCGCGCGTGGGGCGCAAATACAGGTTCAGCAGCGTCAACCAACGTACCGTCGTCAATGCATGCGGACAACATGAGTTTGTGCGATGCACGGTTGCGCCAGTAATTGTTGGGCAAGCCGGGAATGTCACCATTCGAAAATAGGGATGGAATACAACACACTGTCGTCGAAACTGCAGCCAGGGTCGTAGCAAAATTAACATTGGTGCATGCATCGATGCATTGCGTTTATTTGACGCCAATTTATTCGCCATTATGTGCATGGTTTCGTCCATACACCAGCTTTACCTAACCGGTTATAATTTTACATTT